GATAACTAATAGATCTACCTTCACGTTCACATTTCATTCTCCTCATTTGTATCCTGAGACACTTTTTAAAAAAGATTTATTTAGTTCTATTGGAAAGGCAGATTTACAGAGAGAAGGAGATACAGAGAGAAAGAACCTTCATCTGTTACTTTATGCCCCAGGTGACCTCAACTGCTGGAGCTAAGCCCACTGGAAGCCAGGAGCCAGGAACCTCCTCCAGGTCTCCCACGTCGGTGCTGGATCCCAAGGCTTTGGGCCATCCTCTACTGGTTTCCCAGGCAACAAGCAGGAAGCCAGCTAGGAAATAGAGCAGCAGGGACATGAATTGGCACCATTATGGGATCCTAGCACATGCAAGATGAGGACCCTACCACTCCTGGCCCCATACTTTTCACAGGCCCATCCTACTATAGTGTGACATTGTAATTGGCATATCTGTCGTGACTTTGTTTCCAAATAAAATCTTCCTCAGAGGTACTGGAGGTCGGGAGTCCAACATGTCTTTTTTAGGGGGTCACAATTCAATATGTAAAGCAAAAAAACTAAAACAAGAACCAAAAAACCAAAAACCAAACAAACCAAAAAAACGCCATTCTTAAAAGCACACAATTTCCCACTGGTCATCTGCTTTTATATGTTACTCCTATCCACAATATAACAAAGTAAAAATGATAGCTTTCACACAGAGTGTAATTGGCATACTATCTAGAATAGAGGTTTCAGCTGTTTGGATGGTGAAGTGTCATCATAAGAAATGTTATGGGTTTTATCTTCCCTCGGTTAATCATCTGAGAACAAGAAGTCAAGGGATGATGTGAATTCTTTTAGCTCTCAAAGACCCAGGAATGTAGTAGGTTGTTGCCCTCTCTAACATGAACCTCCATTCTTGGGCTCAGATGGCTGTCCTAGCTCTTGCCACCTTGCTCATTCTACATCTATTAGGAAAGGAACTGGGGCGAGGGAAGCAGCACATCTCTTTTTCTTGAGAACACAGGTGCCAAGGAGAACACAAGATTTCTCTCACTTGTTTGAAGAGATCTTAGCCAGATGGCTGTCCTCAGCTGTAAGTTGCAGTCCTGGGCAGTATGCAGGCTGTGGAACACAATCCTATCCTCATAGTTAATCAAAATCATCCCCATTGCAGTGATCATGTGGTACAGTGACCAAGATGTCACTTGCATCCAGTACTAGAGTGCTTGTGCTTGGGTCCCAACTCTGCCTATAACTCCAGCTCCTTGTTAATGTGTACCATGGGAGGCAATGCAAATGGCTCAAGTTCTTCAGTTCTTAACAAGTGACAATGGAGACCCAGATTGAGCTTCAAACTCTGGCTTTGACCTGGCCTTCTAAACTGTTGCTGCCATGCAGAGAGTGGACCAGTCAGCAGAGTGAACCAGAGAGAGGTGTTCTCTCTCTCTCTCTCTCTTTCAAACTTTGCCTACTATATAAATATCATCTTAAAAATAACTCTTCCAGACCCAAAGAGATGACCCAATAGCTAAAATCTCATCTTGCAACAGCCAGATTCCCATATGCACACCAATTCATGTCCTGGTGCTCCACTTCCCATCCAGCACCCTACTTTTGGCCTAGAAAAGCAGTAGAGAAAGGCCCAAAGCCTTGGGACCTTGCACCCATGTGGGAAACCAGGAAGACATTCCTGGATTCAAATGGGCTCAGCTCTGGCCATAATAGCTGCTTGGGAAGTGAACCAGAGGATGAAGGTTCTTTCCATACCTCCTTCCCTCTGTAAATCTGCCTTTCCAATAAAAATAAATAAACCTTACAAAAATAACTCTTCCTGCCAAGCAAATATTTTTAATTAAAAACATTTCAGATCTTTTAAACTAGATTAACCATTAGTTTCTGAAATCTGCCTTCTTTTGTCTCTACTCTCATTCATACTCTTACTGTTGCCCAAACAATGCTGCAGGGTCCAATAAATGTGTTCACTTTAACTCTAGACAATTACACACCCAAGCCCTTCTTACCTGCTCCTAACATCACTATGCTGGTTTTGAGTGTCATTATCTCTCAGTCCTGGCCACTCTAACGTCTCAGATATCTGCCCCCTGCCAAATCTTTATACACTAACAACAGAGACTTCAATATACAACCTTGAGGAAAAAAATCAAGGAGGGCCTCGTTCCATGGAAGCCAGCTATCATTCGGTTCTCAACGGAAGAATTTTTCAGCTCCTATGATTTTCCAGACACTTAGATGTATTATCTTATAAACACTGACAGTTCAATAAATTAATAGCTAAGTCAATTATGTGCACACCATTTACTAGGAACTGTGCCAACAAACTCACCTCATTTTATTTCACAACCTCAAAGGTAAGTGCTATTATTTTTCTCTCTTTAAACATTAAGAAAGTTAATAAATGTTGTATAAAGACTGTGGATATTCTATCATTGGGTATATAGTTACAAATATTCCCTCATTGAATTATACCTTGTACATGTCAAAATAACCTCCTGTTCCCATGTTTTAATCATTGTCATGAATTACTTACCTTTTAATATCTATAGTACTGCTTTCAGGACAAAATAGTGTACATGTATATGTGTGTAACATAAAGAAAAAAAATCAAAGTGTGAAAAAAAAAATGTGGTTTCCTCATGCCTAGGAAGGAAGAAAGAACGAACGACACCTCAGAATCTGGCGTAGAGCTCCCCAACCAGGGAAGCACCAGTTCCTTCCCTAACATTGCAGTGTATTTTGGACAGGAAGCTCTTTCAGTCTATGATTCAGGCTAAAATGTAGAACTGAGCCTCCAGGCGGCTCCCGTGATCATGTAAAAGGATTAAAAACTGTATCCCTCAGGCCGGTGTTGTGGTCTAACAGGTCAAATTGCTGCCTGTGACACAAGCCGTATGAGAACTGGCTGATGTCCTGACCAGCTTCCTGCTAACAACCTAGGAAAAGCAGTGGAAAATGGTCCACGTGTTTGGGCTCCTGCAACACATCTGGGAGACCTTCCCAAAGCTCTTGGCTTCCACTTAGTTTACCTCTGGCTGTTGTAGTTACTGGGGGAGGGAACCAGCAAACAGAAGACCTCTCTTTCTTCCTCTCTCACTCTTCCTCTGAAACCATAACTTCCAAATAAATAAATTTATATATGTGTGTGTGTGTGTGTATGTGTGTGTGTGTGTGTGTGTGTGTGTGTGTGTGTGTGTGTGTGTATAATCCCTGGTAGCAGCAAAATTAGTTTGGACAGCCTGATATACTTTTTTTAAAAAGATTTATTTTTTATTTGACTTTGTTAAATTACTTTTTTCAATTTTATTTTACAGAGAAAAGGAAAGACAGACATCCAGATAGAGATCTTGCATCTCTGGTTCACTCCCCAAATGATCCATACAGCTCAAGCTGAGCAAATGTAAAGTCAGGAGCCAGGAGCTTCTTCTGGGTCTCCCATGTGAGTGCAGGGTCCCAAGGCTTTGGTCATCCTCCACTGCCTTCCTCTGCCACAGGAAGGGAACTGGTTGGGAAATGGAGCAGCTAGGACATGAAAGGTACCCTTATGGAATGCTAGTGTTGCAGACTGAGGATTAGCTTGTTGAGCCACCATGCTGACTCAGCTTGTAATAGCTATGTGCAACATCTCTTCTATCTTGTTATCAAAAATTGCCTCCCAATCAATAAGAGGGGAAAAATTCCCTCTTTTTATTTTCCTTATAGGTAAGGATAGCCATGTGACACAGTTGTGGACAAGAAGATCCAAGAGAAATTATACTTGTATTCCTACTAAGCATTCTCCAATTTCCAATAGAAGATTCTGTAGAGAATCCTCCTCTCCCACTTTGCTGCTGCACATGATTACATGAAGTAAGAGAGAATCATCTTTTGAATAAGAGGAAGAGCCTTACAGTGAATACATTAAGAAAAGCATCTGTGAGAGCAGGCTCTGTAGTGAGAAGGGTTAGGCTGCCATATGGGACATCCACAGCCCCTGTCAGAGCACAGGTCCTAGTCCCAGCTACTCTGATTCTAACCCAGCTCCTTGTTAAGGTGCCTGACTGGCAGTCAATGGTGCCTTAAGTACTGGAACTCCCACAACCCTTCAATGAAATCCAGATGGAGCTTGATTTACCCAGGCTGCTGTGATTATTTGGAGGGTGAACTAGTGGATGGAAGATCTATCTATCCTTCTCTTTCCCTTTCTCTCTCTCTCTTTCCCTTCTCCTCTTCCTCCATTTCTCCCTCCATATTTCATGGCCCCATATTGCAAATAAATCTTAAGAGAAAAAGGAAAATCATCAGTGACATCACTGACTAGCTGCACAATACATGAAATTTCTTCAAGCCTGATGACAGCACTGCAAGACTTCATGCAGCATGAGGCTGCCAGTGATTTTATATTTAGACCTCCATTGATTAGGAATATTGTATTACACATAACCATATCCTAACAATGGTGTGAAGGATATGCACACCCCCTTCTCCAGCATTACATCAGTCTGACATTCCGGACATTCCAGTCTGACATCCAGCAAGGCAGACTGAATACCCAGGAACAAAATGCATCATCCGGAAAAAAAAAAGACATTGTCTTCATCTAGCAATAAAAACTTCTGACCGGAAAATAAAATTGACATGTTAATATGAGCAAAAGAAAAGCAAGCTTACCTATATTGGAGGAAAGTTATGAGAAGAAAGATGGAAAAGGATACCCCAAAGTAAACTTAATTTTGATTTCCTTGTTGTAATTATCTAATAAACCAAATTTATAATTAGCGGTCTATCTAGAAATCCAGCAATTGTTCTCAGAGTAAAACAATACTAGCCATATGAGCATACTTTACCTGCAGTAGATCTTCTGAAGTTGGGAAGAAGCTGATGAAGAACTGGTTCCATTATGCTTCAGTAGCTGTTGTAGTTATCTTTATCATCTTCCAACCTGATTTACACATAACCCATCCTCTTTCATTGCCTTTATTTTTTTGAAATATAAATTTTTGATTGTCCTTATCACCACTCATTAGGAAATGCTCTTAAGTATAATTCTTAATTTATTGCTAAATATTCTGATAGTGACAATGTTGCATAATATTCATTTAAAAATATTAATCTAGAAGTGGAAACAGCAGTTCCATTTGAAGAAGTCACAGCAATCTTAACACCAAATCAAGCAAGAGACCAAAAAAAAAAACAAATAAATAAAACTCTACTATGAGAAACATTATGTGCTCTAAAATATTCAGAGTTCTCGCACCAACCCAACCTATTGGTTGCTTTTCACCTAATCCGCCAATTTAAGTAGTTTCTTTGCGGTTTGGCTCCAATGTGTCTCTCTCCGGCAGCAATTAAAGATACAAAGTGATTTTTAATTTGAATTTTTAATTAATACATGAAATCAGTTGATCTGCAGCCTTCTTTTATGCTCAAGCATCTGCAATGGATGGGTTTGGCTTTACTCTGATGAAAAAAAATAATAACTTTACGGTCTAAAAGAGGTGACAGCCAGATAGACAACAGATTCTTAGGCTTTTTAAGACTCACAGTATGGTTGAGAGACGACTGGGTCAGAAGGACCAGTGGGTACAACAGAATACATAAGGATCAGGAGATGCATTAAGGTACAGGAAGATCAAAAGTGAACAACAGAGTGTGGAAAGATCAGTAGGGTATAGGAAGGTGCGAAGGATCAGCAGGAGGCAGACGGTTCTGTGGGTCACAGTAGGACGAGTTAGGGTGCAGCAAGATCAGTGGCTGACATCACTGTTGCCTTGATCTAGATTCAGTGAACATCTTGGGCAGAAAGGAAAGCCTCAACAGGAGGAATGAAGGCGGTGAAAGTATTTCATAAACTCTTGTTATTCATGAGAAATACTTTTTTCAAGACCATTCCATAAGTTCTTTTCTGTCTAGGTGAACCATTTTTCAGAAATACTAGCTCTTGCAGGTCTCTGAACCTTTTAAAGCTGGTAGTATCATTAGGCAAACTAATCACAACTCCTAGAAAGCATGATTAGCTGATTCCATAGCAGTTAATTTGCATAGAAATAGTCGGTACAGTACTGATTCATCAAAACATGTCCAAGGTTCAGGTTCATTCTAATTCAAGATACAATTAAACCAAACCCCAAATTAATGTTAGTATTGTCATTATTATTGTCACTATCATTTCAACCCTTACAGTTTTTTAAGTAAAGGTTAATTTTTCCTTAAAATATTAAAGCTTTTACACTCATACAAAATGTGACTTGGAGTTAAGAAGTTGAACTTCTCAGGCTGAGAATTTCTAACTAACAGATAACTTTGGAGAGACAGTCAGATTGTCATATTTCATTCTTTGGCACATTAGGTTGGATATAATATACAAGGCTGACACATATTTTGAAGACAGTGTTTGATAAACTGTTCAGAGCCTCTTTCCCTTCAAATTAGAATCTCCAACACAGATGCTAAACAAGATATGACTTGCACATTACTCATTTTTAAATTTCTCTCCAGAATTCTTATAAGAAAGTGAAGCTTCTCCATCAGAGTAGTTACTTTTGAGTTGCTTTTATCCAATGCACAAATCCCAATGCCTACCAAGACCCAGGCACTAGTGTAATATTTGGTATGTAAGTCTAAATCAATATCCTATGACTGAATAATCCATAAATGAACGAATGAATCAGTGATGAGAGAGGAGAAAAATTCATTTAGAACCTCCATGTTGTGGACTGCCTTCCCCAGCCAATAACACTTTCACTTAAATGTCAGCACTAACAGAATAGCTTCATGGCTTTAGAGGAACCTGATTTATGAAAATAGTGAAAAAATCACTTCGAGTAAGTCCAGGGAATAAGGGACACAATCTAGTGGGATAAGGACACTTAAGGAAACACAAGGCATGACCAAAACATTCCAAGTCTGACTTTTTCATAATTGTTCTCTGAGGACAATTTCAGAAATGATTGAGAATTAAGAACCCTAAACCAGGGTAGTCAACACCAGGGTTTCTGCTTTGAATCATGCTTATTTGAATACAGAAAAACTGGCATGCTAATTTTCTGCTTCTCTAATTGATCTATGTATTTCTCAAATGCAATTGGGAGAATAGGTCCTAGAATATTATTGTAATTTTAAGTCCACAAACCTCATATTTCCTGGTTGTAAAATAAAGGATCAAAGTAGACAATTGTTATAAATATTTCTAGTGTGAACATCCAATAATCTCTAACTAAATAGGTTCAATATTGTTCACACAGCTTTGAATTCTCTCACCAACAGTTTCTAACTAAGGGAATTGTTCTTCAAACAATCACAAGGCTTCAAGACAAACCATGTGTTCGCTTGTAGGACATGGAGTGCAAGGCTGCCAGGCAAGAAATCAAATGGGACAACAGGACTCTTCTCTCCCTGTCCCTCTCCCATTAGTCTCCTGTTTTCTTCTCCCCCCTTCCTATAAACCCCCATCCTGTTCCATTAGCAATTTTTATCTGTCCCTAAACAGGAACGATTATAGAACCCAGTGGCTCATGTTCACATGGGATCAGTTAGACAGCACATACAGATTAAAGCTACCCTTTAAATGATGTGTCAACTTTCCAATAAGTAGTTACAACTTCAAAAGCAGATGAAGTTCCTTCAAAGGAAAGTATAACTGCGGGCTGCAGAAGTTCCTGCTTCCGATTGTTTCCAAAGTATTTTATTCTGTAGATTCCAGGCTGCGCAGTGTCTGGAATATGCCATTCTATTGTCACATTGCTCAGGCCCAGTAATCCCTTGTGCCAATAAAAACTGTGGGTGGAAAACAAACAAACAAGCATAACCCAATTTTACTCCTAACAATGTGTCATTATAAAATGTGATGATTCATTCAGTACAGATTTAGGGAGGCCATACCACAAGGAAAACACTCTTCTCTCAAGCCATCACCAGGTAGATACACCAGCGGGACATTAGATGGGAACCAGAGATGGACCAATCCTAGGCACTCCAGCAGATACGGATCTTAAGTGCTGGTCTAACCAGCCTGGATCCACAATGCCTGCTCCATCAACATATCTTATTTTAATCATTTATAAAACCAAAGTATTTTCTGTTTAATGTACTCAACATGTAGTAGTATGTTTATTAATGAGATGTCTTATATTCTTACTTATAACACATTTTTTATTTTGCATTTTACAGTTCCAATGCCTCTCAGAACAACTGTATTTCAGACTTAATAATAACATGTGACTAGTGGATATTCTGCTGCAGAGCCTAGGTGTAAAAGAGTAACAGAAGATCACGACCTGGTGTGGAAGGAAGTTTTACTAGACTTTGAAGATACAGCAATGAACAAAAGCATATTCTTGCCTCTTCAAAATATCTGCTTTGCTAACAAATCTGATAACAAAAGGTTCTGAGAGAGCTGTCTCAGAAAGCTCCATGAGCCTGTGACCTCCTTGAATTGCTGCGTTAAACAATGGGACTGGTGTTGTGACTTGATAGGTGAAACACCACTTCCAATTGCCAGCATCCCATGCATGTACTAGTTTGTGGCTGCTCCACTTCCTATCCAGCACACTGCTAAAGGTCTGGGAAAAGAAGGGGAGAATATTCCAGGTGCTTGGGCCCCTGCTGCCCATACAGGAGCAGGGCTGGAACTCCAGGCTTTGGGTTTCGGCCTGGCCAAGGTTTGGGTCTTGCAGTGAATCAGCAGATAGAAAATCTCTCCATTTCTTGCCCTCTCCCTGTAATTCTGCCTTTCAAATAAATAAAGCTTTAAAAAAAATCAAGTCTCACGTGTTTTACTCTCCCAAATGCAGAATCACTGACTATCTAAAAGTGTGCACCAGATCCCTGGAATAAACTCAACTATTTTCCAATAGGAAAACCAGGCTCTACAATGCCATGTCAACTTTCTTGTTCAACATGCAATCTACTTGTAAGAAGGCTAGGCAGCTTTAGGGGATCAAACTGTGACCATGGTGGAAACAGAAGTAACAAGATCTCTGTAAGATTGGAAATGATACTCTCCATCGACTCTAATCTGACTCTATTTGGGAGAAAAATAGAAGCAAAATGAAGTCTTAAACATCAACTCAATATGGTCAAATAGGCTCCTTGGAAATTTGCTATCATTAGTACCAGGAATTGCATTAGTCCTCTCATGTTTGGGGCTCAAAACACTAAACAGTCAACAGACACACTCACCGAGTTTCCCACGAAGCATCATTATGCACCACCCGCCATGTGGCTGAATCGTCTTCATACTTCTCCACAGCGAGGAAAGTCGAATGAGTCTGAAACATAATTAACATAACCAATCTGGTCATACACACTCACAGAAAAATCTCTGTAAAATTCCAATTTTTGATCACATGTTAACTGAGCAACACTTGGCATTATGTACAATGTCTTCAGAATGTTTATTTCCAGCCTACCATATTATTTTTAGAAATGTGAAAGAAGCAAAATTAAGGAGGTTATACCCAGTCTTGAAAATAAGAGCAGAGGAAAAACTGGGAACAAAAGTTGAAATTTTATAAAGATGTAAGTCAACTGTTTTCATGATGTGTGCATTAATTTATATCACTAGACTTTAGTAACCTCAAGATTTAGAAGGGAAAATGCTATGGTTTACTCATATTTTCATCTCCAGATAAGCGAATTACTAGTTATTTCACCCCTGAGAGTAAAAGAATTGAAAAGAATGCATAAATCTTTCTTGTCCTGGAGTGCTAACGGCAGTACCTGTGCTTGGTTCTAATGAGTTTTTAGAAACATGCCATAGGCAGATTTTATTTCCTCACTGGAAGAATACCATAATAGAGCAATTTGTTCCTGACCAAAAATTCAGTTTCACATAAAGCACAAGTTTGAATGATAGGACAAGTTAATAAATTTTTTTAAAAAGCTATAACTCTACAGTTTGCTTCAAAATATTCCACATTGTGGGGCCTGGCGCGATGGTGCAGTGGTTAAGGTCCTCGCCTTGCACGCCCAGGTTCCCATATGGGCGCCAGTTCTAATCCAGCTCCCTGCTTGTGGCCTGGGAAAGCAGTTGAGGACGGCCCAGAGCTTTGGGAACCTGCACCCACGTGGGAGACCCAGAAGAGACTCCTGGCTTCAGATTGGCTCAGCTCCAGCCATTGCGGCCACCTGGGGAGTGAATCATTGGACGGAAGATCTTCCTGTCTGTCTCTCCTCTCTGTATATCCACCTTTCCAATAAAAATAAAATAAATCTTAAAAAAAAATATTCCACATTGTGGCCCATAAAGTTAAGACTTACACCTAAGTCATCTTTATCCTTCACAGTCCTTTTTTTAAAGCTCTGCTCATTTAATCAATCAATAGATAATATTTAAAATATTTTTAGGGCCCAGTGCGGTGGCGCAGTGGTTAAGGTCCTCGCCTTGCATGCCCCGGGATCCCATATGGGCGCCGGTTCTAATCCCAGCAGCCCCGCTTCCCTTCCAGCTCCCTGCCTGTGGCCCGGGAAAGCAGTCGAGGACGGCCCAAAGCTTGGGACCCTGCACCCGCGTGGGAGACCTGGAAGAGGCTCCTGGCTTCAGATCAGCATAGCATCGGCCGTTGCGCTCACTTGGGGAGTGAATCATTGGATGGAAGATCTTCCTCTCTGTCTCTCCTCTCTGTATATCTGCCTTTCCAATAAATAAATAATGAAAATAAATCTTAAAAAAAACTTTTTTAATTTTAATTTTATTGGAAAGGCAGATATACAGAGAGAAGCAGAGCCAGAGTGGAAGATCTTCCATCAGTTGATTCACTCAAGTGGCCGCAAAGGCTGGAGCTTAGCCAATCCAAAGCCAGGAGTCAGGAGTCTCCTCCAGGTCTCCCACACGCGGGTGCAGGGTCCCAAGAGTTTGGGCTGTCCTTGACTGCCTTTCTAGGCCAGAAGCAGGGAACTGGCTGGAAAGCAGGGCTGCCAGGATTAGAACCGGTACCCATGTGGGACCCTGGTGCCTGCAAGATGAGGACTGTAACTGCTAGGCTATTGTGCCGGGGCCCATATATTCTATTCTGTTGATAAGCTTTATAACTATGGAGACTTACAAAGAAATGCATTTCTGTCATTTCCACCAGAATGGAATTGAGAAGGCAATGGATGAAGATCTCCAGTGGGCTCTGCTGATGAGCTCTAGCTAAGAATGAGCCTAGACCACTGACAGTCAGCAGCCAGTGGAACTGTCCTCTTATCACCTCAACACAGATTTTTCCAGATGCATAATCACTTAATATTAAGTTACTAATGCTCTCTAGGGGAAAGTTTACACATTTGTATTTTATAAATATGTTATGTGTGTATCATAAAAGTCATTGGGTATGGGTGAGATAATGTATGAGAGGGCTACGAAAAGTTTGTGGAAAATTAATGGAATGATAATGTACATTTTCCATGAACTTGCTGACGTTCCTCCTATATACAGCACTCAGCCTAGTGCACCTGCAAGTGATAACCACTAAAGATGATGGTGATAGAGCCTGGTGCAGTGGCCTAATGGCTAAAGCCTTCACTTTGAACATGCTGGGATCTCATATGAGCACCAGTTCTAATCCTGGCGGCAACCCTGCTTCCCATCCAGTTCTCTGCTTGTGACCTGGGAAGGGAGTCGAGGATGGCCCAAAGTCTTGGGACCCTGCACCCATGTGGGAGATCTGGAGGAAGTTCCAGTCTCCTGGCTTCGGATCAGGGCAACACTGGCCATTGCGGCCACTTAGGGAGTGAATCATCGGATGGAAGATACTTCTGTCTCTCTTCCTCTCTGTTTATCTGACTTTGCAATAAAGATAAAATAAATCTTAAAAAAAAAGACAATGGTGATGATGAGGATGAGGATGATGTGACTGCAGGTAATGAAGGATATCAGAAAGTATTTTACATTGTTAGAAATTAATTCTGGTCTCATTACAGTGACAATAATGATAATGATATTTCACTATCTAAGCACAGCAGATGACAATTAAGGCTATTATTTTGATACTGTCCTTTGATAAGATTCAGAAAATCCTAAGACAAACATGTAGATATTATTATATAGCCTGACTTCTGAGAAAAATATCTCAAATAGGTGCCTACTAACTATCCAAGCAATCGAACATTTTTCCCCAATGTTATACTTGACAGGGTCATATTGCTACAGTTGTTACCATGGCAAGTATGATATTTTAATAAACAGGAATGCGGGGACACATTCTAAATGAATGTTTCCTCAACAGTAAAATAATAGAAAGTCACCTTTATGGCCATTTTTTTTCCTTTGTCAATTTTGTTATTGTTCTAATTTTTACAACTAGAATGTGTCCAGTTATTAATTGAGTAATACGCAAAGATTTAAAGGAAGCTATAGAAAGTGAAAATTACTTATTTTTATTACTAGGTAAATTATGTATGTGTTCAGACTTCATACAATAAAAAACAAAAAAGTAAGAAGTGCTTTGTAACAAACTGTAACAATGAATACCCCAAAATCAGAGTTGTCACACAGGGGTATTTTCAAAATCTACATACCTTTATTTTCTTTCACATTGAATATGTATTTTTCATGTCATTTTTCAAAATTAATATAGAGAGGCCATATTAGTGCCAGGAGTAAAGAATGGGAAAAAGTTATTGCACGCTGCAGCAAGGCAAATGAGCTGGGATCACAGATCACAGAACATGACGTGGGCATTTAACCATTCCCTCAGGGGTGGTGGTGGTGTGGGAGGAGGAGCAGCATCCAAAAAGGCAGAGAGAAAAAAACCAAAGATGATGATTCGCTTGCTTTGCCTCTTGATTTTGTTGTTTCACTAAATTCATGGAGCTTTCTATCTTATTTCACAAATGGATCTGGGTTCAACCTAACAATGTCCCAAAAGACAGCATAATCCTCTGGCATGTCTCCTGAAATTTATTAAGAATATGAAAAATTACATAGAATTTCAATTTTTTCAAATAATCTTGCTTTCCACAAGCTTTTAAAAACTCAGTTATATGTTATGCCTTACTTCTACGTGATTCTAAAAAGAGCAAGGTAAGTGCTTTCTAATATTTTCTCTAGAGTCAGTTCAATATCACCAATGTCCATTGAGCATTTTTTCACAACTACAAAAGAATACAGAAAATAAGTTGGCACATTTTGCCGTTATGTTGTTAACCTCTAAAGTGATTTTCTTTGGGGGTAAAAGAGAAGATAAAAAATGGATCTAACTGTACAAAAATAAAATCATTGATTAGTAACTCTTACCTGGTTTTCTGCTGAATTCTTTGGGTTAGCACCTACAAAAACAACTTCAACAACTTCTCCCTGAAAATAAAAGCTCATTTAACATTTTCTATAAAATATTTCATCATAGTCACATATCAAGCATCATTCATTCTCTGTTGTAGGATTTTGGAGGCCTGTGAATATTCTTTATTGAGTTAAATGAATTATTTTCTAAGAATATAATGGAAAAATACCCTCGCCACAATGACATAAGACATTTTTGGCCGAGGATATTGTTTTGGCATATTTAGCTATAGATGAAAAAGCTAGAGTTATTGTCGATGTCAGTGATTGTACATTAAAAAGTTTTCTTGTGCACTTCCTATTCTTTCACAGCTCCCTCTCACATATATGCAAGTACTCTATATGTATAATTCACCTACTGTATTAGAACAGTAGTCACCATAACAAACAAACTTGTGTGTACACTTCATTTATGAGATAGCGGTACAGGATCTATATTCATCCTCCCACCCAAAACAAAAATGGGAAAAATATTAAGCAATGATTTTAAAAACAATGGATATCAATTAGTTAGATACTATGACCCTTCAGTGGTAGAAAACCTAGGTGAATTCTAAGGCATCGCAGCTTAACACCTTGGAGTGTCTACTGGCCCAAAATCTGGCATAGAAGGAAAAGTTCTAAACCTGATAAAAAAAATCACAAAAAATCCTAAAGAAAATATCATACAAAATGGTTAAAAGCCAAATTTCTTTCTTCTGATATCAGAATCAAAACAAGGATTCCAGTCTTAAAACGTTTATTCAGTGTGGTTGAGAGGTTCTGATAGGTTAGAGAAAGGACAGCAATTAAAGAATCAGAAAAAAAAATAAGAAAACCTATTATTACTTGTAGCTGACATACTATATGTTGAAATTTCTAAGGAACACACATAAAAATCAGGTCAAAACAAGACAATAGACACAATCCCACTGGAACTAATAAATGATTTTGCAAAGTTGTGAGATACAGCAGAAACATAATGATAAAGATCCAGCTTCATTTTTTCGTGCTTTTCTTGTATTTTAAAAGACATCTTCTCTCAGGTCCAGTTAATGTGTTCATGACTGTACATTTATAAAGAGAATCATCTGTATTTTAGAAACTCAATTTTACATAATTACTTGCAGGAAAAAAAATATCTCCCCATTTTCATTGATTTTGCCTATTCTCTGTGGAGGTAAACACAGTTGTCCAAATTAGTACTGCTAACACATATCTATGGTATAATTAGCAGCAGGTACTTGCATTGAAAAAAAAACAAACAAACCCTGCCCACACCCCTCCACACAGGCCTTCTCTGGGTCTTACCACTCGGTATTCAGGTTTCACGGGCTCCAGGACATCCCCAAAATTTCTGCCTAATGGTGTTCTGTCCGCAATATTAGGAATTAATGGGAGTATCAACTGACTGAAAAATGGAGGCTCTGGGCCTTTGCTCAGATTGGCTACTGTGTCCTGGAAGAGAAAGCATTTGCTTAAGCAAAGCACAATATTGATTCAAACACCCTTTGCCCAGCCCTCCAACCCCAGAAATCCCTTCACCAAAGGCACAAGTGCAAGAGACAGCAACCTCTAACAAAATATGAGGGGAATCTTGCCAAAATGTGAGCCTACACACCTACAATTTAAACTTTTGTCACAAGAAGAAAGTTCTGGTCGTAGGCAATCCTTTGATTGCCTTAGATGCAGAGTTAGCATGCAAACTGCATATTTCAGGGCGATCATTTTTAAATTATGTCACTTTGGGGGCCTAGCACATGACAATTTTCTCATGCAACAGTATAATTATCTTTCTGATTTTTAAAAAGTATTGGGCTTCTTTCACCTGAAGTCCACTTCAAGATTCCTCCTGAATACTTACTTGTTCGAATTAAGAAAGATAGTGAATATATATTTTATTTAAAAGTTGTTAGCATCCATCATGTTAGGTTTAATCTGACCTTGACTATACCATCAAAATGCAAATCACAATGGTTTTAAGTGGCCCATGATACATATTTTACGTTCTTTAATCCTCACATCATATATTTAATCTTTATAACAGCCACATGAATGAGACAGGCATGTGCTGTCATCCTCAGTTTGCAAATGAGAAACTAACATTGGAGATATTTAGCAAGCTGTTTTCCAAAATGATACAGCTATTTCTAAGACCATATAACTAAAATGCTTGACCATGACACAAATCACTGAGATGAACATTATGATAAAACAAATTAATAAAATACCACAAAGTAAACACATTGTCCTGAAATTTGAAGTACAGAATCATCAACTGTTGGTGAAAATAAATGAACTTAGAAGCACTCATAGGACTTGCCTTCAGAAACAGCACTTACTTTGTTCCAATATGATATAACCATGCTTCCTGTATATGTACTTGATTGTCTTAGCTATGCCATATTTATCACACAGTTTTTGTTTAGGTCGATATGTTATGTGTATTCCAAGGTGCTACAGTTTTTCACCAAATGTAAGCCTCTATAGATCATAGCAACTTATTTTTTGGATCACCAAAGAAGTAAAACATGCTACTAATTAAAGTATTTCTGAGTGGAAGATGGCTCCTTTGGGATCAGAGGTGCTATAAAGTAGGAACTGGGCATTGTAGAACCTATCCACTCCACTGTTGGAGTGACTGTGAGAAGCTGGTGGGGATTCAGGGACACTGGTTCAACTCCCAGTTACTGTTACAGTGCTCACCCACCAACTTCAAACATTTTACTCCCCTGAAAACTAGAGGAGAAATGATATATCATTATTGCATGGTGGCTGTGGGACACAATGAGATTATATGTATATATACATATCTGCCACACAAAAGGATATTAACAGAGTCTGAATTTTACTGTAAGATTGCTCTTTTCAGGACTGGCACTGTGGCATATCAGATTAAGCCAGCACTTGAAGGACCAGCATCCCATGTGAGCACAAGTTTATGACCCAGCTCTTCCATTTCAAATCCACCTCCCTACAAATGTACCTGGGAAAGCAACAGAGGTTGGCTATGAGTTTTGGTGCCACCCATATGCAAGATTTGGAGGAAGCTACTAGAACTTGGCTTCATCATGACCCCTCCCCAGCTTGTGTGGCCACATGGGGAATGAATCACTAGTTAGAAGATGCTCTGTCTCAACCTTTCTGTCTGTCCCTCTTTCTGTAACTTTGTCTTTCAAATAAATATTTTTTTAAAGACATTCTTTACTTTCTTAAAGATGCTGTATGGCTGTGATTTTTTAAAATTATAACGACTATCAGAAAAAAACTCACAAAAAACCCAAAACACTGCAAAGATAAGGTTCCCTTTTTTCTTCTCCCTATATTTCCTCCCTCTGAAGCAAACACACACACATAGTATTTGCTTACCGTAGCAATGGCCTTAGCAAGGCCTCTGAACAGCTGGATGTAAGCAGAAAGACTATGTGGTCCATAAATTGTAGATGCTGCCTCATATCGCTGAGCCTGCAGAAGAAGCAGGGAGAGTTGTCCATAGTTCTGCAAAGTTCAACCCATCTGCATAGGTATAGCATTTTAAGAAGGAGTAATGCTCGCACAACTCAAGTTACTCTAAACCAGCATAATCTTCAAAATTATTTATGACCAAAAGGATAGGGTTTTCCATATACCAACTAAAATAAGTGGCTCCCAGCAACTATACTAAAGGCAGTGGGTTCTCTTTGCTCATGCCAGTTGGACTGTGGCATCATTTACTCTGGTAGAGAAAGTGAATTCCTGAGCTTTCAACTACTACAACCACTTACATGTTTCCCCAAGGACAGGAGCAGAGGAGACTTAGGGGCAACTCCTGGGGTAACTGAAAGTTGTTTGCCCTCTCTGGAGAAGCACATGGAACCCAAAATAGAGCTACAACAGGAGCCAAATGTATTTCCTTTATCCTGGACTCCAGTGCTACAGTCACGTTGCATGAACCTGAAAGCCATCAACTCTAAGAGGAAACTCGTGGTTCCAGACACATCAGCTTCTTCTGCAACGTTCTGCATCATGGACAGTGCCAGTCTTTCACATGGAGATAACCAAGAAATCACAGTAAATTTATCCTTCCCATTCATCCAACATCTTGTAAATTTCCAATCACGTCATTTGGACTCTAAAAAAATCTCTTGAGGAAATGATGCATGGCATGGCCGCTGTCCGCAACACTGGCACCCCTTAGAAGCTGTTCCAGCTGCTTCACTTTCAATGCAGCTCCCTGCTAATAAAACTGGGAAAGCAGCACAGAAAATGACCCTGGTGTTTGTGTTCTTGGAAGACCTGGCTGGATTTCTGGGTTCCTGGTTTTAGTCTGGCTCATTCCTAGCCACTTGCAGTAGTTTGGGGAGCCAACTAGAGGACAAAAAAATCTTCCTCTGTCTCTTTCTCGCCTTTTCCCTTTCTTACTCCCTTTTTCTTTACCTGTACTTCAAATAAATTTCTTAAAATTCTCTTAAGTCCATCTGGTTTTCTGTTTTACATTTAGTTTCACCCAAGCCCCCATCTCTCATTCACACCTAATCACAGCATCTTACTTTGGTCTCTGCCTAAATACACTCCTTCCTATTTATTTCCCACATGGTGATTGTAGTGACTTTCTAAATCACAAATATGATTAGTGCACTCTCTTCAAATCCTATAAAACCACTGCCCAGAAGTTCCTCAAAACCTGTCCCGTGAGTCGAAGCTTTACAGCATTACATATAAGACAATTCCTCAACTGACTCTTGCCTCACACTGCAGCTGCTGTCTTATTGCCATCACCTTTATTAGACATCATAATACTCAATGACATACAGTCCAAAATGTGATGAGACTGTCCTCTTTGATTTTCACATATATATACAGTTTCTTCTACAAAGAATACTCATTTTTATTTTCTTGATTAAACCTTACTTATTATCGAAAACTCAGAGAGATAACTTTTCCTGAAGGTCTGCCAGCCCATCAAATATGCAGGATGGCCTGGTAGCCTTTCTGTTTTCATAGCATCTGTGCCTGCCTTTCATGGACCATAACCATCTGCTTTCCTCTCTATTAGACCACTCAATTTCTAGTGGTCTGGCAGCCATGCAAATCCTTTCTTTTGTTATGTCCCAGAAAATATCAAGTGTAATGGCTCACAACAACACATCTGTTGAATAAATAAATCATTAGTTAAGTAATAGGAATTCTTGTAGGACCTCATCCCTGAACCGGGAGGCAATGTGTGGAGGTTCTTTAATTTCTGGGGCAATCTGTCAAAACCTGTGGACCCCTCTCAGGACAGCTGTTCTTACTGCATAAGAAAAACCACAAAAGGCTTATAAAGAGAATCAATAGGTTGAAACATATTTATCAGCTACAATAAACTACATAGTAAGATATATACTCCTTTATTGCATTATTGAATAGCAAGATCTATAAGTACATCTAGATCTTGAGGTAGATTTTAGATTAGTAATAATAAAAGATATTTCCAGATAGATAAAACCTGTATGTGACACAAAAAATATTTGTGGTTTCTACTAGTGACAAAGTCATCACTAATATTGTTTATTGTCTACATATATAATTGAAGGAAATGGTAAGTGCTAGGATCATGAAAAAAATCAATTATTTCTAGTTTAACCTAGGAAAAAATGATTTTTAATTGTTTCTATTCGAACATAATGCAGATAAGAACCTAGATGCAAGAGCACGTTTGAGAAGACAGTAAACTTCAGAAGTAGCAGGCAGACGCCACCTCTGGCCGCAGTAAACTCTTGCCAAAGGGTTACCGCTCTGTCTTTCTGTCCTGATACACCAACAGATGTATTAGAAACCATTCAGTGTGGGACTCTAGACTGTTTTCATGTTTTAAACAACTATCATTTAAAACTTACTTGGACTGTTCTTTGAACTATTTTTAAGAAAGAATGACCAGCCACAAACCTCACTGAACCTCAAGGACTCTGTTTTCAAAACTATAATATGGGGCACAGTGCAGTAGCTTGGTGTTTAAAGTCCATGTCTTGCACATGCCAGGATCCCATACGGGTGTCAGTTTGTGTCTCATGGCCCCACTTCCCTTCTAGTTCCCTGCTTGTGGCCTGGGAACCATTGGACAAAAGACCTTCCTCTCTGTCACTGCTCCTTTCTGTATATCTGCCTTTCCAATAAAATAAATAAATAGATCTTTTTAAAAATCTATAATATGAACATAACAGCACTCTAAGACAAACTATAATGATTACTTAAGATCATATCTTCAGTTTAATAACTAATGCTGGGCTCTGGAACCATAGCATAGTAGCTAAAATCATCACCTTGCACGTGCCAGGATCCCATATGGGAAAGGATTCTAATCCTGGCAGCCCTGCTTCCCATCCAGCTCCCTGCTTGTGCCCTGGGAAAGCAGTCAAGGACTGCCCAAAGCCTTGGGACCCTGTACCCATGTGGGAGACCCGGAGGAGGCTCCTGGCTCCTGGCTTCAGATTGTCTCAACTCTGGCCATTGCAGTCACTTTGGGAGCGAACCATCAGATGGAAGATCTTTTTTTCGTTTCTCCTCCTCTCTGTATATCTGCCTTTCCAATACAAGCAATAAATCATAAAAAGAAATAATCAGTGTATTCAATTAAATGTAACAGTTTCCCCAAGTTTTACAGAGGAGTAAGACACCAAGTGATTTATGAATAGGATTAGGATGCTGTGTGCTCCCAAGCTGGGTTTGTCTTCAGTCCCTTGATAAGATAATTGATTTCAGCAAAGGTGAAAGAGAGCGGGACTAGAATTTGGACGTGAACTTGGAAAGGAGGAACGTAAAGTCGCTAAAAAAGAACTGTGTGACTCCTCATTCACCTAACTTTCCAAACCTAAAACAAAATCACCTCTCAGAAACATGATTGGAGAAGTTCAATAACATTTAACATAACTGTCTTAAAGAGGGTATAATTTGTCCACATGGTGAGAACTTTTTACTTTACCTGGTATTCTTCATATGTGGTAATATAATGTGTATAAACATTGCATAGACCTGAAACAGTAACAGTCATATTCCTCATCCCATAAGTTGCAAATTCCTAGGAGGAAAAGTAGAGCAAAGTAAAGTCACACTCTATCTAAAAATATGTTATCATCCCATTACACTAAATTCACAGTCATTGATGTGAATGGTTAGTTCAAGCTAATACCCAGACAATTTCTTCACAATGACCACAACTGCATAGGAAAGCAGAGGCATCCAATAATCCATGAGCAAATGGGACAGCTATAACTCTGCACTATATAGAGGGGTAACTCAATGGATCCATTAAGACCTTAATGATGATATTTGCAGATATAGTATCTTCTTATTAATAATAAAGAGATTTTTTAATTGCAAGTCAGATAAACAGAGAGGAGGAGAAACAGAGAGGAATCTTCCATCCAATGATTCACTCCCAATTGACCGCAATGGTTGGTGCCGATCCGAAGCCTGGAGCCTGGAACTTTCTCCAGGTCTCCCACGTGAGTGCAGGAACCCAAGGCTTTGGGCTGTCCTCGACTGCTTTCCCAGACCACAAGCAGGGAGCTGGATGGAAGTGGAGTTGCTGGGATTAGAACCAGTGCCTATATGTGATCCGGACACGTTCAAGGTGAGGACTTTAGCCACTAGGCCACCGTGCTGGGCTCAATAAACAGAGATTTTGCCACTATTCTAATAAAATACAATGGATGACTAATAGCTAGCCAGAATGATTATTTACAGGTCCAAGGAACACATATGATTTGGCATGTAACTTTAGAATCATTTATGATACCAGCTAAATATAAAAAAATCAAAAGGCATAAAATCCAGAATTCTAAAAACACCATCCATTTTTATTGATATTACTCACTTGAATTTAAAGTTTTAAGATATTTATGGAGATATTTACTATTTGATTCTTAATATTATCAAATTTTAAATTGTTAATAAATAAATGATGATAAAACATCTTACTCTGGCAATATTTTCTTTTATTTATTAAATGTTCTTTTAAAAATATTTATTTATTCGAAAGGCAGAAATTCAAATGCAGAAGAAGAAGCTTAGACAGAGAAATCTTCTATCTGCTGCCTTACTTCCCAAATGATCTTAACCGCCAGCAACGGGCCAGGTCAAAGCCAGGAGCTTTACTGGAATCTTTCACGTGAATGCAGGGGCATAAGTACTTGGGTCTTCTTCTGCTATTTTCCCTGGCACGTTAACAGGAAGCTGTGATTGGAAATGGAGCATCAGGGACTCAAATTAGTGCCCAGCTGGGATGTCAGGGCTGCAGGTAGTGGCCATGCCACAATGCCAACCCCAAGTCTAATCCTTACAACACCAATATTTCCTTTCCGCCTCGAACTATTGATTTCAAAAAAAGTAAAATTTTATTCATATTAGGAAAGATCAAAAAGTACCAGGTTAGGATCAGCATTGTAGGTATAGTAGGTTAAGCTGCTGCTTATAACAACAACATCATATATCAGAACCTGGTTTGAGCCCAGGATGCTTCACTTCCAATTCAGCTTCCTGCAAATGATATGGGAAGAAGTAGACTATGGAGCAAGAGCTTTGATGTGCCACCCAGGTGGAAGACCTGAATAGATGTCCTGGCTCATGACTTTGGTCTACACAAATTAGCCATTGTAGCCATTTGAGTTGTGAATCATCAAAAGGAAGACACCTCTGTGTGGGCAAGTATGTGTCACTTTCTCTCTCTTCTTTTACCATTCAAACAATTTTTTTTTTCTAAAAGTTACTAGATTTAAGGGATAGGAGATATTCTCCTCTTGAGTGGATATTAAATTGTGAATATTTCACTTCATTTGTAAAAAATCATGTAAAAGTATCTTTCATTAATCTTAAAGTTCCAGGTATATTCTCCTTAGGTCCACATAAAAATTAGTTTACATTTCCAATTGTTGCGAATTACAGACTTACTGCTTGAACTGCCTCTCGAAGTCTTCGTCCAGACATGGTTCTATGTCAAGAAAACAAAATCATGAAAGTGGTTTCTTATTTATGGTATATGCAAAATATGCAGAAATACTTGTAGTGAAAACCAAAAAAACCAATTGTCCTGGCTTGTCATACAACAGTAAAGTATGTAGGTCTCAATGACCACACAGAGGTAAAGCTGAGCTTGGTTTCTCTTGACTCTCCTACCCTCAAGGTCAAATCCTAAACTGGAAATGGCTAACCAGATAAAAGGAGGAAAGAGACCCAATTTACTAACAAAAGAGCATCAGCATTTTCCATTCATTGATTCAACAAAAAACATCAGTTATCTTCTATATTTATAACAGGTCAGGCATGTAGAGAGCACACTTGTCTTTCTGTTTTCGAAGAACTTCCCATTCCACTAATTCAGCTAAGTCTACAATAAAATATTGAGCATCTACTGCATACAAACCCAATTCTATGCATTGAAGATTATATAGCTTGGAGTTTTCACTTGAGGATATAAAGAAGTCCAACAGGAAACTTATAAACAGGATGAATGTAAACTCTATGGAGAATATAAAGCAGGGATAGGATGAGATAAAGTGGGTACTGGGATGAGGATAGTGGTATTGTAATAGTGGCAGGGGTTGTTGTGGTAGCCATGGTGATAGATGAAGACTATATTATATAGTGTGAATAGTATTCCCTGGAATCTTTGTGATTGGAGAGAAAAAAAAAAAAGCAATGAAAGTCTCTGTCGAGAAGATAGCAGAATACAAAGTTCTCCAGGCAGAAAAACAAAAACAAAACAAAAAAAAACTAGAAATTCAAAGGCTTTAAGACAACACTGGCCTCGGTAGTCTGAAAAACACAATGCCGTCAAGGTGGTTGAAACAGTAGTCAGTGAAGAAAGAAGATTAAAGAGTTTCCTGAACAACAGACCAGGTAACAGCTGTGGGCCTGTGGATTTACTTGGGATGAGACAGAAAGGGTTTCATGCAGCCAGCAGCATGAAACATGGAGGAAAAAATCATAGATAAGTAAAAGAGGAATCAAGCCGACTTTTAAAACAGGAAGTCACAGCAATAAATCTGGGTAACAGATGGTGGTAGTTTATACCAGGACACTAGTGATACAAAGTGATGGGTAGAATATCCAGAACTTGCTGAAAAAATGAAAGAGGGAAAATAAGAGGTAATATAGTTCAGGCAAAACTCAAAGGCACATGGCCTGAGTAACCAGAAAGATAGAAAATCTTCACTCACTAAGATAGGAAATGCTTTGTAAGAAACATCTTTTAGGTGTTCTTTATATATTTTTTAAAGTTTTACTTATTTTTATTGGAAACAAAGAGTTAAAAAGAAGAGAAAAAGAAATTGTCCATCCATTGATTTACTCCACAAGAAGCTTCAGTAACCAGAGCTAAGCTGATTTGAAGCCAGGAGCAAGGAGTATCATCTGAGTATCCAACACACATCAGGAACCCTACTATTTGAGCCATCCTCCACAGCTGGCAGGGAACTAGATCAGAAGTGGAACAGCTGGGACATGAATCAACACCTATAAACAATGTTGGTGTCACCAACAGAAGCTTAGCCTACTATAACACTGGCCCCAATCTCCATGTTTTTAATACCTAAACCGATCATTTGGAGTGTCCATATTATTTAAATCTGGAAGGCTAAAGTTATAAATTTTCATGTTTACTTCAGGTCTGCCACCAGCGATAGGCATAGAGACAACTATTTCTTAGAAGCCACACTAAAAGAGGATAGAAATACCACTGCTGCCAAACACAGTGCAAGAGGATACCAAGGTGTCAGTACTTAATTATCTTTCCATAAAAAGGAAGAAAGATGGGAGAGGAGAGAAGGGAAAGGGAGGGACAGAGAGAGGCAAAAAGGAAGGAAGAGGGAGAGATGGAGGAAGAGAAAGAAAGAGGGAGGAACGTAACATATCTACAAACTAACTTGGGTCTATTCTTGTACTCGTATCACATTGGCATGATACTTGATTTTAAAAAGTAATTCAAACAAAAACATACACACAATAAACATGCATTAAGCTAATAAGTAGAAGCATGAACTTACGTAAACTCCCCAGGGATGGCAGTGACAGCCAAGGACCCAATAGTAATAATCTGAACATCAACAATCTCTGGATGCCAGGGATGAGGTCGTGAGAGCTTGGAGCCCCAAACAGAGAAAGCTGTGTTAGGAGTATTACTCTTTTTATGGTAACAGATAGAAGAGAGTTCCAGCGGTTCCTTTACTAAAGGCCTTTAAATATTTAAAGCTAGTTGCGTTGATTTTCAATTTATGATATAGTATGTCCTTATCAGAACACACCAACCTCAAATGTCAATGGTACATTAACCTAGACTTCAGTTTTTCTTTGATTTTATTTTTATTGGAAAGATAGATCCACAGGGACAAGGATAGACACAGAGAAGAATCCTCCATCTTTTGCTTCACTCCCAAAGTGGCTGCAACAACTAGAGTTGTTCCAATCCAAAGCCAGGAACCAGGAGCCTCCTCTGGGTCTCCCAGGCAGGTTCAAGGTCCCAAGGCCTTGGGCCATCTTCTACTGCCCTCCCAGGCCACAAGCAGGGAGCTCAAATGGAAGTGGGACACTAACCAGGGCATTAACCAGTGCGCATATGAGATCCCTGCACACACAAGGTGAGGATTTAGCCACTAGGCTATGGCGCCAGGTCCTACATTAAAATTTTTGATAGATTTCTCACTGAAGAATCACAGCATGTCATGGATAAGCAAGAGCACTTCTACAGTACTATGGGTTACTATCTTAACACATTATGAGTAAGTAAACTCTATTTAGAGTAATAAAAATCAATAATTATCCCTTTTTCACTCCCATGGCACTTAAAAGAAAAGTCTACTTTCAAGATCTTTCTGCCTTAATAATCTGCTTTTTCTGAATAATGGAATGATCCTTTGACAATCAGAATTGAAAAATGGAAGTCCAAAGAAATGTTAGACAAAAACCACTTAGTTAAAAATGTTTCCTGAATTAACGTGTTTCTTTTTATGTGATCTGATATCTTTTGCTCTATATAGAATTCTGTGTGAACTTCCTTTCTGGAGCCACAGAGTAGATGGGCAATGAAAAAGACGATTGTAATCATATTCCTCTTTTGTTATTGCTCTAATTGTTTCATATAGTTAAATATAAATGTAATTAAACCAGTAAATTTAATAATCATACTCTTATCTGATGGAATTGGATTCACAGCATTCATATTTTATTCTTAAAATCATTCATTGTTCAATACTTAAACATTCATAAGGAAAAAGTAAGAATGTACTAATGCTACTGGGAGAACCAAAACACTTTACCTCTCCTGTAGGAAGAAGGATCGGCTTTGGTTTATGACATTCTTTGAGTTCTTCAGATGGCTTGCCTAGGAGCTCATCTCGAATGGTGTCCCAAAAGGGATCCCCTTCTGTCATTCCTATTAGAAAATTCTCTGATTAATAGGATTTCTTGAACTACACCTCTGAAAAAGTCATGATTGAGATAAATATTGTACAACAATCTTTTTGGGAGAAGGGTCAAAGGTTTTATTAAAGTATTGCTGAAAACTTTCAAACAATAACAGGCATCAGATTTTCTTAAATATAGCCATTATTCAATTAATCCTCAGTGCACTTAAGAAAATAGAATACATTTTCAATATCTATAAAATTTCATTTCTATTGCTCTTGCTCATATGTGCTGCAAGCAAAATCAATTTGATATAAATAACTGTAGACTTGGGAACTAAATTACCTTTGCCTATTTTGAAACCTGAAAATGACACCACCAACACAAAAGTACTAGTTCTTTGGATTTTAATCCCTAAGAGAACTGTTCTTTAATCTTCAATAATCAATCACCATTAATTATCTAATCTCTTCCTCCGCACACTTACATACATGTACAATGCAAGCAAAAAAACAAAACACAGAATCTGAAAAAAGGGTTCACTAATTAGCAAAGCTATGAATTGAAAATCTACAATTCACTGTAAAAATTGAGTAACAGTAACGTGTATGTAATAAACAAAATGCACCAAATCCATGAACCAAAATGGACAGAAATGAAGACAGGAACAAGCAATTCAATAAAAATAATAGAATTTTCTCCCTTTAAAAAGATTCATTTGATTGTATTGGAAAGGTAGATTAACAGAGAAAGAAGGAGACACAGAAAGACCTTCCAACTATTGGTATATTCCCCAAATGGCTGCAATGCTCAGAGCTGTGCTGATCTAAAACCAGGAGCCAGGAGCTTCTTCCAGGTCTCCCACGTGGGTACAAGGTCCCAAGGCTTTGGGTCACCCTCCACTGCTGTTCCAGGCCAGAAGCAGGGAACTGGATGCTAAGTGGAGACGCCAGGACACAGACATGTGCCCATACAGGATCCCTGCATTTGTAAGGCTGAGGATTAACCAATCGAGCCATTGTGCTGTGTCCAATCGAACCTATTTTCAGGAATGACTGGCACAACGATACAGAAGAGCAACAGGGAAATAGAAAGCCTCAACAAACTTGGAACCAACAGGTTCAAGAGGCATATTATAGGACAGTCTTCTCCAACAGCAAAACACACATCTTTCTCTAATCTACTGGACGTTATCCAAATAGATGGTGCATTTGTTATAACGTTTACCTTAGTAAGTTTTAAAGAGTAGAAAGAACACGAAGTATGTTACCCAACAACAATGGGATGAAACTAGAAATAGCTAACAGGAACAATTGGAGAAATTCATAGACATGTGAAAATTAGGCAACATGGTCCCTAAATAGTAAATGATGAGAAAATAAATCAAATTTTTAAAATCTTAAGATTAGAGCAGCAAATTAAACCACAATCAAGCAAAAAGAAGGACATTGCAAAAATTAGAGACTCTTAAACAGAAAATAAAAAATCAATAGAGAAACACAATGAAGCCAAAACCTGGTTCCTTGAAAAAAAATAAACAAAATTGACAAATCCTTAGCTAGATGGAAAGGGAGAAAGAGCAATGAGCAATAATGGAAATTTCTATAATTAGAAATTAGAGCAGGCTTCCCTACTGACGTGTGTGTGCATAAATAAATAGTATGAATATTTGTGTGCCAACAAGTTATCTAATTTAGATGAAATAGACAAATTTTCAGGAAAACACAAAGTACCAAAAGTGACTCCAGAAAAAACAGTCAATATAAATACCTCCAAAAAAACTAAAGAAATTAAACAAATAATATTATATATCAATTTGCTATGAAAAATCCAAAAGTTAAATTAGAAAACCATTTCATGTTTTCAAAAATCTACCAAAAATAACCTGATTCAGATAACATCACAGCTGGATTCTACCAAATGAAGAATTAGTCCTTAAAAACTCTTCAAAAACATTAGAAAAGGAAAAACTTTTTGTTTTTTTCTCGGTGGCCCATTTTATACTAATACCAAACCAAACAAGTAAATCACCACAAAGAAAACCATATGTCAATATTTCTTCGGAATATGGTCATAAAAATGCACAACAGAATACAGACAAACTAAATTTAAAAACATATAGGAAGAATTATTATAGATCATACAAAATGTGATGTATCCATGAAATACAAATTAAATTTAATGTTCAAAAATGTATTAATATAGTACAACATATTAACATATTTTAAAATTCACATGATAATCTCAACAGACACTTTAAAAACATTTGCTCAAATTGCAAGACGATTTCATAAAACAGCATTCAATAAATTTAGACATTGCCACCACCCTTTAAGGGACAACCCACAGGCAACATCATAATAGTGATAAATAGCTGAATATTTCATCTTACTATCAGGAACAAGAGAAAATGTCTACTCTGTCACTTCTATTCACAGCATTGCGCTGAAGGCTTTAGCCAGAGCATTTGGGAAAGAAAAAAAAGAAATAATTAGTATTTAACTGTAATCGAAGAACTCAAACTATTTCTATCTGAAGATAACAATCTTTTTTGTAGAAAACCTCAACACAAAAATACAAAAATCCTAACGAATCCATAAAAAAGCTAAGCCTTTTTCGCTTCAAGAATGCAATCAAAAAAGCAAAAAGACAATTCACAGAACAGAAGAAAATATTTGCAAATCGTACATCTGATAAGCAACTTGAATGGAGGATATATTAGCAATTCATATATCTTGGTAACGAAAAGAAAAAGAATCCACATTTTAACATAAGAAACAAATTAACGGATATTTCTCTATTCATATCCAAATGATCAAGGAGCATAGGAAGAACACTGAACACTATTAGTCATGAGGAAGATGCCAATCAAATCCACAATGAGATATCACACTGCACTCAGCTGGGTGACTAGAAATGACAAGCACACAAAGCAAATATCAGAAAAGGTGTGAACCCAGAACCCTGTGATGGTTGTGATAATATAAAAGGATACCGCCATTTTAGATATAGTCTGGCATTCCCTCATATGACTAACTACATGCTCTGCCAAGACCACTCCAGAGAAAAATAAAATAAAAACCTCACACAACACCTGTACATAAGTAGCAACATATTTATAATAGCCAAAAAATGGAATGACTCAAATTTTGCTCAGCTGAGAAATGTATAAGCAAAGCTGGTATACAGATAAAGTAGAATATTATTCAGCCATAAAAGGAACAGGTACTGCTGCACACAGCAGCACAGACGAACAAGGAAATCATGATGCCAACCGAAAGGAGCCAGCACAAACATCCCACATATCACATAATCTCATTTATGTGAAATGTCTAGAGTAAGAAAATATAGAAACAGAAAGATTAGCCATAATGTACATCTAGAAGAGATGAGGTAGCCAGTGTCAAACCTGAAGTATGCAAAATTTCTTTTGCAGCAATGAGCATGTGCTAAAACTGACTAAGGTAATGGTTGTGTTTATCTGTGAACTGCACTCGCCAAATGAGCGGGTCACATGGTGTGTGAACTTTATCTCAATAAAATTGTTGAAAGCAAAGACTATATAATATTGTGGAATGTAAATCATATTGCATGACAGATGAACAGGAAATATGAAGTATATTATACCAAATTGCCACTCTATTTATTAATTTTTAACTAATTGTTTTAAAACATAAATAAAAGAATGAAATAAATCATAACATTGCCTGTAGGTGGTGCTCTTCAATGTTTTCTACTTTCTATTATGTATAATGATAATCAGAATGAAGCCACAGAACCTAAACAATCAGTCATAAACTTCTGGAAATACACGTAGGAAGAAGCTCCAGGTCTACAGGCTTTAGGCTACCAAAACCCTCTGTCCTGAGTAAATTCTGAAGCCACTTAAAGAATCTGAGCGACACTGAAGAACCAGATGGGAGAACCAAGTAAAAGAAATGGAGATTCCTATTATTAAATAAGAATTCTCCTTCTCCTTTCTCCCCTCCCTCCAAGCCCCAGCCCAGTCTAAGGTTATTCACTTGTCCTTGCATATCTACGCCAGCACCATTCACAAAACTATCAACCTGAGTATCCACCAACAGAGAAGTGGATGGGAGCATGACAGTCATACGCGTGGAATACTATTCAATGCCCCAAAGGGCAAGATCCTACCATTTGTGGAAACTTGGATGGGCTTGACGGTTACAATGTTAAGTAACAGAGGCCAGGCAGAGAAAGATAAGTATCATATGATTCACCCAGATGTGGAATCTACAAAAGAATTCATAGATGTTGGGAGCTGAGGACTAGAGGGGAGAAAAAGTGATGCGGGGAAAATGGTGTATGGGTACAGTGTCACAACCAGATAGGAGAGATAAGGCCTGGTGTACTATGATATGTAAGCATGACTGGAGTTAACAACACTGCACCAAAATTCAAAGTGGTTAGAAGAAGGGCTTGAACGTTCTTGTTGCAAAGCAGCAGTACACGCCTGTGATGATAAATAACCTAATCTCCCTGACTTGATCACAGTATAAAACACAAATGCACTGAAACATCCCAACATACCCTCCAAAAGATGTACAACTATTACCTGTCACAGAAAGAAATAATTTTAAGAGTAAGTAAAATATTAAATTTGAATTGAATGCAATTGAAATGCATTGCCATAAAAGAGCATTTGTGTCTGGTTACATCCGAAAGAATGGACACTCTCCTAGGTAACCTGGCTCTTACATCTGCAAATCCTGCAGATGCCTGAATATAATCATAATGAACATCTTGACTACAGATAAATCTCATCTGAGAACAGACCTCATAGCTTCAGAGTTCACCAGCCAAGGGTTTGGCAAACTTCATCTTACCCTGTGTAAAATTGAGACCTCCAACTCCATCAATTGTGCCAGCTGCAAAACTGTAGCCCAGTGCTGGTTTACATGTTTTTACCTAAGGGAAGTTTTCCAAAACAAAACAAGAAAGAAACAGAAGTTGAACTGCGAGTAAATATGATCAACCTATAACCTAACCTTTGTGGCCTAATCACATTGACTTAACCATACTTACCGCATGTGTGGAATTGAGCCAGACGGTCACATCTGTCATATTGACCCACTGGTGAGCTGACCCCAGAGCTCCTGTCAGCTCCTGAGAGGCAGAGGCATACAGCTCCTAGAAAACACGCACAGGTTTAATGTCCCACGCAGAAAAGCTGGAGTGCTAACAGCCATCAACTGGCGAAGTGCTGACTTGAAAAATCACGTCTCAGCTAACAGTCCCTCCCTGTGTGGAGCTCCTGGCCAGCCCCAGGTGCTTCCCACTGGTTGACAGGCTCAGTCCCTGGTGATACGCATCTTTACTTCCCACATACAGGAAACTGCACTGCTAAAGGCTATGGTACTAAAAGGCTCCAATCTCACTTGAAAGAGAGTCCAGAAAATTTAAGATTAGGAGTAGGTGAACCTAATTACTTCATTTGTGAGAATGAAAGTTTATTTCTTTTTGGGGGCACATTTATTTGTTTATTAATTTGTTTGTCTGAGATGCACAGAGAGGGGTCTCATTTATGATTCACATCTCAAATGCCCACATCAGCTGCGCCTAGAGGTGGCCAAACCTAGGCACCCGAAACTCAAGTGTTGGTGACAGAAACCCAACTAATGGAACTTTTGCATACTGCAAGAAAGCTGGACTCAAGAGTTGGAGCTGGGACTTGAACTCAGGCATCTGATGTGAGATGTGCACAGCTAATCTGACACCTTAACCACCAGACCCGAAGAACATTCCTTAGATGGTACTCTTACTGGAACTTACTTCTATGGATCTTAGATTCCATCAACAGAACTGGTAACAAGGTTGATTTAAAAAAAAATTTCAGACCCAACTTCATCTGCATCAACTCTCTCACCCACAATCCACCCTGTGATAGTTTTAATTTGTAATATGGTCACTGAGGCTTCTTTAATCACATAGAAAATAGGAGTCAAAACATGTTTAGAAATTTTTGGCTTTCTTCATCTGTATCATAAAACACAGGCAAATCTTGCTTCAGTACAAGTCTCCTAATAGCTCCCTCCTGCTGTCTCCACAGCATGCGTGAGCTCTCCTGTTAAGCTGTCAGCAACACCTGCTGTGACTAGCCTCTCCAAATCCTGAGGGACATTGTGCCTTGCTGAGAATCCAGAATGTGGGACAAAGCTCTCGGTTCCCAGGCCTGGAATAGAAACAAAATTTCTGACACTAAAGTGTGTCATGGGCACACACCTTAAATGGAATCTCTTAATTTAGAATAATCTACTGGTAATAGCATAATAATTAAAAAGAAACTACAGCAATTAGGCTGGCTGCTGGCACCAATTTTGTGTCTGATTTTTTTTTTCAATGTCCTTTTGTTCTTCCTTAATTGCTCCTGAAACAATTTAGAAATTTTGAAACAAATTATTTACTTAAACACAGGCAGGCATGACAAAATACAAGTTAGCTATAATGACAAAACTATCTCTATCATAGACATCTTAATCTCAGGTCTTGTCTTTTCTCTCAAAAATTTGTCTCTCCAGGAGCTGGTGCAAAATAAGAGGACACATGGAAAACAAAATATAGGCGATAGAGAATACAATTAGTCACAATAATCTCACTGGAGATCAGATTCTGTCTTCATCAAGTCTGTTCTTTAAGAAAAGAGTGATTTTTTTTTTCATTTTAGAAAAGGCCAGATACTTATTGGCACCCAAGATGCAGAAGTGTGTAATTAGTCCACTCAGCTTCAACTTATGACCAAAGGAGACATTAAAAAATGGACAGGGACCAATTGCAAAAACAAGACCCAGAGAATTTCTGGAATTTGGATCAGTATGGACCTTTCTGATGCTGAATTCATTGAAAACCTTAGAATCCCTCTTGCTGCTACCTGAAAGCTTTCTAAGCCTTCTAACAGAAAGATTTCCTGATAACTTGGTTTTAGATTCCTATTAGAAATCACACCCAAAGCATGCGAGGGACTCCTTTGTGGCTTGAGAAGGCCACCATTCAAGCCAGCTCCCTGACACAGCCTGACCTCGTGCTGTCTTCTCACAATTACTACTTTCTTAACAAATGGGGTCAGTGGAGTTTGGGAACAATTCTAGGGATCCAGCATTGTGGTGCAGCTGGTTAAGCTGCCAGATGCAACACAGGTATCCCATATTGGTATCAGATCATGTCCGGGTGCCCCATTTCCAATCCAGCTCCATATTAATGTACTTAGAAAGGCAGTTAAAATATTTTGAAAAAGGCCTAACTCTTAGGGTCCCTATCATCCACAAGGGAGATCTACAAGAAATTCTTAGCTCCTGGATTTGATCTGACCCAGCTCTGTCCATTGCAGCCATTTGCATAGTGAACCAGCATATAGGGGCTCTCTCTCTCTGCCTCTCTCAGTCTCAATCTCTCTTGATGTCTCTCTTGTAACTCTGCATTTCAAATAAATCAATAAATATTTTAAAAGAAACAACAATTCTAAATGAAGACAAAAAGAGCTGGGGCAAGCCATACCTTCGCTCTCTGGTATATGATGCGTCCTATAATCTGTGTGCTGTCAAGCATATCCTGTCCAGGTCCTGCTGCCATGCACATATTAGACTGCAACAGAGACAAAATGCCTTTTGAGTGAAATAAGGGATGATTTTAAGCAACAAGAAATTACAACTGAATGTAGGCAACCAAGCTTTTTATGCCTTATACTATCATTTCTTTTCAGATATTTTCTCAATGTCAAGAAGATATAAAACTGTACACAGAGAACTATGAATGTCTTTAGCAAGCATGTATTGCAGAAGTTTTTAGAATTAGGAACTAGGCTAAAAGATTTGTGGAACATCATAGAGACAGTATCAGATGCCAGCCTCTTCCAGGCAGTGTGCATCTTTCTACTAGCCTGTTCTTGCCTAAGACCCTGGCTGCTGACTGTTATGTAAACTCAATTGCAATGATATTGATGATATCGGAACAGCTAGCTGGCTTCTAAAAAATAACAAATAAACCTGGTCCTATACCCTACCTTAGACATGTGAAAAATATTGGCTAAATAATTTAAGTATTATAGGTGGAATAAAAATATCCCCCCAAAATGGGTGAACATACTGTATAGTCTGCAGGATGGCTGGCACAGCGCCATAGTGGGTAAGCTGTGTCCTACAACAGCAGCAAGCTATATGGGTACCAGTTAGAGACCGAGCTGCTCCATTTTCAGTTCAACTTCATACTGATATAACTTTGTCTTTCAAGTAAATAAAAAGCAAACAAATAAATATGGTCTGCTATAAATCTGACAATCTAAACACTTTGTTTCTTTTAGGGGCAGGAAAATCTAGTTTGAAAGACATCTGTCTGATAAACTGGGGGCAGTACAAAGGTTGCACTGAGTGTTAAAGAAACTAAGCTTTTAAAACATTAGGAACATTAAAAAGTCAAAAAATACCCTTTTAAATGTCTTTTTGACTCATCCATATTGAGTTGGAATTTCTCTAACAATAAAAAAATCCTAATGGTTACACCATGGAAAATGTATTAAATAGGTAATACAAAAAAATGCAAACATCCATTGACATTAAATTTTGCTCAACCTCTTGAACAATGAAATTAAAATTTATATGATGAGGCGATAACCCCTCATGTACCACGTTGGTAAAGACCGCAACATAAACAACCAAGGTTTGGGTGAGGGTTTGGAGAAACTGTCATTCACATACTGCAGGTGGGAATGCTACTGAAGTGTAGCACACAGCACACTGCCTTTTAAGAATTTTCCTAGGTGGAAATACGTATGACAAAAAAAGGCATGTCTACAGGAAGAAAGAGAGGAGAGAAGATTTGTGAAAGAACAAAGAATGGAGGCAAAGTAAACATCACTCATAGAAGATGACTTAACTGCACTGCAGTACTTTAAATGGAAAATCACAGTTACATAATATAATATAGCATAGTTATTGGGAACAAGGTGGCAGGTCACAGCACAGTTTCCAGTGCAATTCTTCAGGTGTAAAGGTGGACATGCACCTGTGTGAGAAGAAAAGGCTCTTTGGAAAGATGCCCACAACATTTTAACACAGTGAGCACTGTGGGCTAAAGGGTTGGCCCTTTGGGCTAAGATTTGAATCTCCAAAAATGTTGATACTTGTTTTTTCTTAAGCAAATGTAATTTAAAAAAAAAAAGACCCAAGCTATTTTCTAAATTAAAATAATAAAGATACTACTACTTTCTAAAGAAACTGTATCAGTGCCAGAGATATTGAAGTGACTGCCCATCCTCCTGTTCCTCTCTCTTATGAAAAATCTTTTTTTCAGAGAGCCTTCCCTCCCTGGAGGCCACCTTGACTCGGAGGTAGCAGAATCCATTCGCAGTCTTAGATCAAACCACAAGATCCCAGAAGCTCCTGGACTGAGCAAGAGATTACTTTACAAATCCCCACTTATGCCAAACAATACCTGCATTGCCCCGAAAATTGTTTATTGCAGGGACGAGCAAGTGACATAAACTGGTCCAACTGAGCTAAAGGGAAGAATACTCATTCCGTGACTGAAGGTGTATTCTCTCTTAGCCTCTGTATTTGGGAGAGAGTGCAAAGTCTTCTTACACTGATAGCCATCCTACGTTAACCCAAGGGAATCAAATCAAATCAAACCCAAGGGACATGCAAAAGGAAACAACCAGAATTCTGTTGCATGGAGGTAAGGTGAGGGTTATGCCTTTGTTTGTATTTTTCTGATTCTAAAAGTTATAATGCCCACCACAGAAAAAATACAAAAATGCATTAATGGAAAAATTAAAAACCATCCACAATGCTGTCAAAAAGAAAAAAATAGCATTTTTATCCAGGTTACTTCATTTAATATTTTTACTTTATTAACTTCCAAAATAGCATTCAAAATAAACACGTAAAATTAGATTCTGACTTTCTCATTCGGCATTGCACATCATGAGCACTTTTCCCGCACTACTCCTAATTCCAACATAAGACACTGAATTGAAGCATGATATCCTTCTGCACAAAGTAACATCATTTATTTAACCACTTACCTACAAATTTTAGAAACTCACAAAGTAATCTCAAAATTTACTGCAAATTAATGTGTGAAAATTTGCAAATAAAGAACAGAAAACTTTATAAAAATAGCAATATATAGTACATATAAATATATAGTGTGAAACTATTAAAGCTATATTGCTCACTGGGTGGGACTGATCTGAACAGTTAATAACCCAGAAATAGTATATTCTAAAAGATATTATTACAGGTGAAATATTCCACAGGCCAATTAAATAAGACCACAGAAACCAGCACCCACTGTTCATGCCATTGAAAACCAATCCAAACGAACACTGGGGAGAAGCAGTTAAATAACTAGTGGTGTGCTTATACTTACTGACAGGTAGATCTGGAAACAGACCCAAAAGTATTGCTGAGATAATTAGAAAACACAAGTAACAATATAAATACAGTTTGTTCACGATATATACATACATACATGGCAGGGGGGATGAGAACAGTCACCTGTGGGAAAGGCGGAGGGCAGAAGGGACAGAGGTGGACAGCAGCTTTCACTTTTTACCAACCTATGTGTTTCCACCTTGTTAGAATTTTTAAAGGAAAAGGAACTTTGATCTTATATTGGGGAAAAAAAGTTAAAAACTTTATAGTCAGTGAGCAATGCCTTAGGCAAGCAATTTCTGGCACAAACCTAAAGTTTAGGAATGTCAAGCAAACCGTTTCAGACTGTCCAGGTTTGAGGAAGGATACTTAATCTCTGACATTCATTCCATTTTCTCAGCATTAAAACAAATAAAAAAAAAGTCAATCACACTGGAAAACACAACTTTATCCAAGTTAAACTGAGTTTGTCCAGGTACCTTTAAGAAGAACAGATGGTTGGAGCCAGGGGATCAACATACATGAGGACAACCTAATTGTAAACTAATGATGATTATCCCAACATGAAGTGTATATGAGATGCAAAACCAAAGATGTCATGTAGCACAGTTACTCACCCCACCAATGGGACAAGAACTATTGGCATTATCACAAGATTCTCCCGTGTTGATGCAACGGGGGCCAAGAATATTGGGGGACACATCTCCTAGGTTCGATGAAGCAAACGCTGCTACATATGGTCCCTGCCAAAACAAACACGCAATTGCCTTTTATTCTCTTATTTCCTGTAATGACCTCCATTAAAATGCAAACATTCAATCCATTCCGACAAACTACTCAAAAATCAACTACAAACAGAAAGATGTATAATATTCTCCCATCCAAGTACTAACCAGGCCTGACCCTGCTTAGCTTCCGAGATCAAAGAGATCGGGCATGTTCAGAGTGGTATGGCTGTAGACAGATGTATAATATTCTGAGAAGATATTTTATTTCTGAAAATCTCTCATTGCTGTCACTACCAATAATGTTATGGAAAATAACCCAGTGATCAACAGAACTGCTTTAAGAACAGTTTCCAACTTACGCATCAGACAGAAATATTTTGACAGGAAACGTACTATGCAAAAATAAAGTGCTGACCAACCCATTTAGTCTCCCTGATGCTTTTATCTGGAGATCAGGGATCAATTTGGCCTTTAAAAATAAACATCTTATCAGCTTAAAAAGAAAAGAACTAATGCAGACTTTCCAGTTGCAAAATGAATCCTAAATATACCATTTGCCATCTGGACCTGCCCTGCATGTATTTTGCTTTAACTGTTCAATCAGATTAGAGTCATGGAGGGCATCAATATCAATCAAGCTAGCCCACCAGTCCATCTTAAATGTTTTAAATTTTCTTAGGGAAAGAGGTTATTAAGAGGTTATAGATATCTACTAAAGACATTTTGACAAAGTGCCTATCATCCTGGCTGAGACTATCAATGTCAACTTTTTCCACATAATAGAGACTACAATGAAAAAATGAGTGTGTATTGTCAACCAAGATGCTAAAATAGCAGAATGAATTTACTGAGGTTCTTTATCTTTATAACGAACTATTCATTCTAAGTAGGCACAGTAAGCACTTGGGACTCCATCCCATCAGATGTTTTTACATTTGAGTCTTATGCATGCTGGGTCAAGTAGAGCAAGGTCTGGCTCTCTCCACTTAGCTTTTGCAAGTTGCCAATTAAACCAAAATTGATGGTCTTTTGGAATGCGTGGACTGGCTTCTTGAACCCTCATGTCTCATCTCATCATTCACTGAATTTGAAAGTTATAAAAATAATTCTGATAGCATAAGACTATCAGACTTAGGCCTAATTGCAGGAAAAGAGAACAATGTCCTTGAGAAGAATTTCTCCATTAAGAGAAATGTTAGGACAAGGGAAAAAGATGTATCACCTGTCCTCATTCAAGGATTTTACCCCCAATAAGATGTGTAATCCTTCCACAGCTCTAGAAACAAAAACAAGCTTCCAACTTGATTAAAAACGTTTATGTATTATGGAACCCTTGAATTTGCCCTTCTTTATCCAATTAATATAGCTTCACAAGATCATTTTTATATGTAGCACCTGCCACAAAAAAACCCACAAATGTCGTGTTACCTTGAGTTTTCTTTTCCCTATTAAAGGCAGTGTATTTTTTCTATTCTATCAAGTTTATCCAGATACTCTCAGCGTTGCATGAACACTCAGTGGATAATCTTCCAAGAACAAATTCTCACCTCTCCAGGTAGATATCCTGTGTTCTTTTCTTGCTCAAAAAGGTAAGCTGCATAGCCCACATTGTCACTATTTACAAGATGGTTGCTGTTGTTCATGCTGACAGGATGGATGGCAAACCAGCTAAAAAAGAGTTAGAATCCCTAAGTTATTCACAAAGCAAGAGAACTGGAGCCAAACATGGAGACTGAAGGCTTCCATCTTCTGTAGCAGGAAAAAAACACATTAAATAGGACCTTATGATAGCCTAGTGGCTAGAGTCCTTGTCTTGCATACAATGGGATCCCATATCGGCACCAGTTCTAACCCTGGCTGCTCTGCTTCCCATTCTGTCTTCTAGTGGCCTGGGAAGACCGTCAAGGAAGGCCCAAAGCTTTGGGACCCTGCACCCATGTAGGAGACCTAGGGGAGGCTTTGGGTCAGCTCAAGTCTGGCAGTTTTGGCCACTTGGGGAGCGGGTCAGTGGACAGAGGATCTTCCTCTCTGTCTCTTCTGTGTGCCTGACTTTCCAATAAAAATAATCTTTTAAAATGTTAAAATATAAAAAGTATTAAATAATAGAAATTGCACATTTAGATTATTTTCACTGAGATGAATCATAAATAAGGAACTAAAAAAATCTGGGAATTTGCTTGAATAAGTCTACCTCAGAATTTTATTTCCATCAATATTTGATCACCTTCTTCATCAAATGCTTTTAACAAGACCCAAGTCCATTCAGTTACCAGATGACACATTTAAGGAACTGTATAGACATAGACTTTGTCCTTCAAGTCAAGTACCTAGGTAATAATTATCCAAATGAATCCAATCCAATTCTCTAGTCATTTACCGAGGGTCACCTTTCTTCCAAGCATTGAATAAACTGTGCTTACTCAGACTGTCACAGGAAGCTGAAATGTGAACTAATGGCTTAAATACGATATGATAAATGGCAAGAAGAAACAGACATTGAGTGTTTGGAAACCAAAGTTAATTGGCCATTAATTTTTGAAGGCATTATGGGGAGAAGAAACAGAGGAATATAAAGGCACATAGGGGTGAAGGAATATATTCTGGATAATTCAATACATTCCTATGCAGAGTAATACTTAGTTCAAGCATAGAGCTATGCAGTTTATAAACTAATTGCACATCTGTTACCATCTTTGAGCTTCGCAACAACCATGAAGGATAAGCTGTTTACCTCCAATAGATGAGTCAGAGAAGCGAAATGATAAATCATTTGCACAGAGGAGAAGGACTGCACTCTGAGTCTCCTGACATTTCCAATGAACTTTGTAGGATCAAACCTCCACACAGGTGAACAAGGTATTTACAGAATGGAAGTAGTGAAGCAGACTAACTGGAATGCTCAAGGAAAGAGAGATACCAGTGTATGCAGTTCCAGGTTAATTTAGGAATTTTTAAAAATAAATCTACTCTTTATTAAAATCTTTGCTCCAAAGTTGTAAACAGTTTCACTTGCAGTCCTACAGAAGTAATATAGTGCACTCAAAATAAGCATTTTCTTAATGATAAAGGATATTTTAGGACTTCAAGATCATCTTTCAAATGCAGTTCTCATTGCCTAACAGTATACATGGGTCAAAAGTGTTCAGCTCACTGTGGTTGGGCAGGCACCATAGGTGAGTTACACTGGTTGCTGCAATAAGAATAGTCTGGCATTTGGAGATCTCTAAGCACCTGCAGAGTCTAAATGCCACAGCCTCTACTAAGCTTCAGCCAAATGATACCCAGGTGGGAGTGTATGCCAGTGTTACCAGCTAGTCACACTTGCTTAAAAGAACCCACAAATTCATGCTTGTACTTCAAGTCTTAAAAGGGAAATGAAGTGAAGCCAAAGAAAGGAAAGATGACAAATTAAGAGATTTAAGATACATAGCCAACAGGGTTTGAAGACTGTGTCTGGATTCTGATTCATTAAGTCAATAGTCAAAAGTAAAGACCTCATTGATATTATCAGAGAAAGACAAACACAGACTGATTATTAAATCCTATTAAGAAACACTTTTAAATATTTTTGTGTAATCATTGTGGTTACATTTAAAATCTCTATCTCTGATAGAGATACACACTGAAATATTCATGAGTTAAATGTAAGACACCTGTATTTGCTTTATAATATTCTATCAAACAAGAGAGAGAAGGTAGGGATAAAATAGAAGTTAGGTATAAGATCATTAACTATTGAAGCTTGATGTGGAAACTAGTGACACAAAGCACTCCAAGTTTTCATGTTGGTAACCATTTTGAATTTTTAAAACCACACTACCAAACCAAATCACCAGTGAAGTTAGTTCCCAAGGGGCCTGTTTACAAAAGAGCAAAAGTGCAGAAGTTAAAACCAGGATATTCAACATTACTGCCTAGAAGTTATTTGAGTAACTTTTATATTTAAGAAAATACCACCTCTGGGATGAAACACAAGTTACTCAACATATGTGAACATCACTTCAACTATCTATAGCATAATAAAAATAAAAGAATCCCATAATACTTGATAAGAAACAAATACATGCAAAGTGCTTAGCACCTAAACTTGCCTACTATTAGAATAAGCTCTCATTGTGATGATGTTAATTATGTTGATACCAACATTGCAGCTGAAGATGATAATGATGGTGATGATAAGAGAAAGAGATACAGGCGCTGAGATTTTATATACATATAAATGATTCAATGAGTGTCAGGCAATGTGGAAATATATGGAAAGTGTATATGCATATATATATTTCACACATTCAACACATGAATATCCAACCCATATTCTGCAGCCATAACATGATTACATAAGCATACACAGTCCTCTTGTGGCAGAGACTTGATTGTTTAAATATTCCTGAGCTCTTCTACTTCCCAGCCCCACCTGCAGGGTGGGGCATGTGAATAGATCGGGCCAGTAACATGGGTGCAGAAGGGCTTCCCAAACCTCATTAGACTTTGCCTGGGTGGGGAGTGAAGTCTTTGATGCAGGAATCACTGGCATTTCATGTTCTGTCTGCTATGGCACTGCGTTAATTAACACACCTCCTTGTCACCTCCTTCACAACCCTCCTCACCCATCTCATTATAAACTGGGAATTAGGAAAGAATGGTTTCACTCTTATAAGGCAAGGATTTGTGTATCTGGAATTTTTTCAAAACAGCAACCTTTGAATTTTAAAACAACAAAAGCAATGTATATGAACAGACTGCCAGATTAAACAAAAACAAGCCATTACCAAAAGGCTCCTTCTGGTTTCAGGTAAACCTGGTGGACCTGGTAAATGGCATCCTGAGACCATTCCTATCCCTCCACTACAGGGGAGAGACAGAAAATCTCCACAAATCTTTTTTTGTTATCTTCAAAATACCTGAATTAAAAAGCCCCTGAAAATGGCAATATTGGAGAGATAATCTGGTTTGTGTAAGGCAACTAAAATGCCTGCACCTTGAGCAGCATGTCTAAGTGATCAACAAAATAAAAGCAGGAAAAGGCCAGCAAGGGTATTTTTAAAAATTCAGTCTAACTAGGAATTGAAGAAATTTAAAGGAAAACAACAGTAATTTGGCTTTTATATTACTTGGCAACAACTGCAAACATAATAATACTGAGATTGGCAGGAGTTTGCGAAACAACATTCTGCTCGTGTTTGGGAAGCAGAAATGCAAACCAGTGAAATGTTTCCAAAGGACTGATGGGCAATTTATAGGAAAATCTGTAAAATATAAACATAGTCTTTGGCTCAGCAATCCCCACTTCTAAGAACTTAGCTGAAGGAAATCATTGGCAAATATATAAGGATACAAGAAAAAGTTCCATGGAAAACTGGAAGTAAAAGTCTCAAGGTGGGCATCTAGCCAATTGGTTTGGGTTTCAGTTAAGATGTCTGTGTCCTGTGTCTTGCATTTGAGTGCCTGAATTTAACATCTGGCTTTTTTTTTTTTTTTGAAGTATAACATATAAGTGCAATACACCTTTTCAAAATACTTATTTTTCTAAATAATTAAATGTATTGCATAAAGGCAATAAGGTAAAAACATAAATATTGAATGGGGTTGATCTGTTGAATAATCATAAACATATAATGGGATACCTCACAATAATTTTCAAATAGCAATTTTTAAATACTAATTTTAAAAATACTAACAATTATTGAAATATACTCATGAAGTATCAGTAAACAGAAACAAACACCAAACTGTATATACAAATTCAGCTTTTTCTAAATAAAAAGTTTATAAATCTGTTTAGGAAAAAGTCTAAAAAAAAATCTAAAAAAATTTGGTAGATGACTATCTCAAGATTACTAGATAATTTTTTGGCTTTTTTAACGTAAGATTTTTCAGGAAGTACAAGAACAAAACAAAGATGATCAGGACAAAATCACTTGATAGAACACTAATGTAGAAAGCATGGTGATGACGAAGTATTAACGCAGCTTGATCAGTTGCAACAACGGGCATACATGGCAGCATTTTGTGCTCTTCACTCAATTCTTCTGAGAACCTAAAACTGCCCTAAAAATTCTAAATTTTCCAATTAAAGCAATAATGTAATGAAGTGTTAAAGAAAAGGAACCCTGGGGTCTGCACTGACTCAGACCCACTCTGCCATCTCCTACTGACCCAAAGAAGCCACAGGGGCAGCCAGCCAAAGAGGCAGCATGGTTCGGATAACTGCACACATACAATTTTTTTTTTTCATTCCTCAAGCCACCACATCCCTAACCCTTCAATAGTGTCCTCATCCCACTTTAGAAAATATTTCAGAGATTCTTCTACTTGAACTCTGACTTTATCTCACAACCCTCTGCCCCAGGTGCTCTGCACTCCAGTCTCCCAGGCCTCTTAGCAGTTTTCCGAATGGGCTGTGGAACTTTTGCATGTGCTTCTCTATGTTAGATGTTCTTTTCAATAGCTGGTTTGCCAGATAATTCCTAGTCTCCCATTAGGATTCAGCACCTTTGCCAACCTTCCCTAAGAAACTTTTCCCAATTCCTGTGAAAGATCACATTTCTCAAACATAGATATACACACATATTTTTCCTTTTAGTTGTTAACCCATAGTTTAATTCTACAATTATATAATTCTTAGCACTTACCCCAATTACAGTTTAACATGGATTATACACCCCTCTGTAAAACTTGAATGCCTTTTGTCTAAGCAAATAGACTATAGTCCTACAAGGGCAACAATTCTTGGGCTCATCAGTGTGTCTCTAGGATTAGTTCAGTTCACGACACATAAATTCCACAAAGAATAAATTAATGAATCGTAATCTCTATGTGGGAAGAAGATATGAGAGACAATTGGAACAATATTAAACTGACTCACGAAGCTTAAGGGACTTGTACAAGAAGCACAGATACTTGTGAAGTATTTGATATCTGATTTCAAGGTTAAATGATCCACTATTCCCCAAATTAGGCAGTAGTGTACAGCATGCAGTAGGTAGGCATCTAGTGCAGACTTACCAACTGAAGAGATTGTTAAGAAAAATGAAAGTCAGAAGGATTGAACTACAAACTGCACTGGGAATTTTGACTGCAACACTTGGCAGAGAACATCTCTTTATTATCCTTTGCCCCAACTGAAGTTTAACCTAGATGATCTCTGTGCTCTGAGACTTTGTGCTGCCGAACTCCTCATACCTTGGGGTTCCAACAGCAGGTACCTACATGTGGTGGCAGAGTTATTTAACAGCCAGATTTTTATTTTGTGTTTCTGAGTCACTTTTAATGTAGTCAAAAGACAATTATCACTGTGTAACAAGAGGTAATTTCAGGAGCGATTACATCAAGGAGAACATATGGTGGCTAATGAAACAATGGAAAGTTCCTGCCGGATGTTAACAAAGCAGAAGCAAAACCTTTACTGTCACCTTGACAGCTGACCCTGGAATTTTTAGGCATGTGATAGGATTATATCCCAGGAGGCAAAGAACATCTGGATAGCATTTTAGAGAATCGGTTCCTGTTGTCAGATAATAAAAGCAAATCATATATGGCCCAGGTAATTCAGTCAGGAGTTAAGCAGAAACATAATGGGAAAATATACCTTCTTCCAATTTGTGATAGTCTAACTAGTCAGGGATCCCCTTATCCAGACCCTCTCCAAATCAGATTTCTCGGTGAAGTTCTTCTTAACCTAAAGATGGCAGCTTACCTTTCCAGTTCACTTCTCCCCAGTGGCCTGCACACTCTGACCTCACAACTCACTGTTGTTCATGACTGAGAAATCACCTGACCCCTCCAAGGTTCGGCTTACAGGTTAATTTCTCTTGGAAATTTCTACAAAGCTCTAAGGCAAGCTGAGAACTACCTCCTCCAACCGTCCAAAAGCAACAGCACTATTGGTCGTCTGATTTATGCTAGGATTACTTCTCTGTTTGTCTCTGTTTCCTGCCTGATCACCCCATTAACCTGCAAGACTCTTGAAGACAGGAACCCACGACTTATTCATCAAAACATACTCCCAAATATTCCGTTGCTTACCTGATAGCTAGAAAGTCTAAGGAGTTAAACACTAGATGGCAACTAACTGATACACAAATTTCTTGTAATAAAACACAAATACAATAAAATAAAATCAGCCCATATAGCCGAATATTTTTTCTGACCACACTTCAAGCCCAAAGGAGTAAACCAACGCTAAGGATTTCAAATTCTTTCACATGTCAATAATGAAGTTATTTAAAAGAAACACAATTGTATTCTATTTCCTACCATTTAAATGATTGAACACGTGTTCTGTGCCAGAATCAGATCTAGAGCTTTGCATGCATTAACAAATTTAATCCTCAAACAACCCTATGAAGCATTACTCATAATTTCAAATCTGACAGTTGAAGTCTAAGTGATGAAGTTATTTTTACCTAGCCAGAGGCTTAGTAAGTAGCAGACAGGGCTGAAATTTGAACCCAAGTCAACTTTACTCCAAAATTTGAACATCTATCATCAAGGCACAACCCTCCTAGTCTTTGGGCCAATTAAGGTGTGTGATGAACCATGAGTCATACTCCTCCTCACTCTTCACACCACCAAGTTACTTCCAATTTACCTATAATTCTACTCAGAATATTTCATTTACACACTTTATCATTCTACTTGGTAGTCCCCTCCACATTTCCCTAGAACTTACCACCAATATTTTCAGGACTCTTCACCCAACAGTGTACTCAGAAATGCTTAAGGATTTTTTTTTTTTTAAGTCTAACAGTGGTCACTATCTAAAACTACCTGGCCAAAAGAGAGATCTGAGCATGGGCCCAAGTGATTTGGTGCCAGTACTCGAGCACTATCCTAAACCTCCTTAGGCTACCTTTACATCATTTGCAAGACCATAGATTAAGGCATACAGCGCTATGATACCCACTCCATTCCTGAGTCCATCCATTTGCATTAATCAAAGCCAAATGTGAAAGCAAACGCCTTCTTCACAAAGAAAACAAAAATCCATGTGTTTTTCTGTATGCTGTTGCAGCCAGACAACGGTGGTCAAATCTGTGCCAGGTTACAAATCTGGGTCCATTTTCTCCAGGAGTCTTTGATTCTGCTCCTATTCCTACTGTTAAAGCCCTGCATCAGACTTAGTTCTTTTTAGGAAAACACAGGTAAATCATTTCAAATCTGTAACCATGTGCCTGATTGGTAATATCATTTTCTCATGTTATCAAGAGACAACTACCTACTATCACTGCATTTCTCCACATGAGCTTTGGATAAAGTACACATCACACATCAGACACTGTGCTAAGCTCTCCTCCAGGATTGCTCATAGACCTCATCTGATTATTAGCCTGTGCCAGGGATGTAGAACTCAATGGTGAGGGGCCAAGAGCTTGGCCCAAGACCTCGTGACTGGGTCTAAGTTGTGCCTGACTCCCAAGTCTGATGTCTGAACCACTCAACTTACCCATAGTATCTACTGGCACCATTTAGTTTCATCTTCCGACTTACAATCAAAGAAAAGTTAGGGGCTGGTGTGGTGGCTTAGCTAGCTAATCCTCAGCCTATGGCACCAGTATCCCATATGGGTGCCGATTTGTGTGCTGGCTGCTCCACTTTCAATCCAGCTCCATACTTGTAGTTGTTAGAGATTCAGAAAATGTTCCTCCCTTTCAGCTTCTGATCAGCTCAGCTTTGGTCATTGTTTCTATTGGAAGACCTTCTCTATCTCTAGGTAAAATCTGCCCTCTAAATAAAAATAAATCCTAAATATAAATAAATGACCTTTAGAAACAAACAAAAGAGGAGGTTAGGCATTCCTGGGGCGCCTCACACTGCCACCCAGCTACATACTGACTCCAGGTTCCTGCAAATGCAGATGCTAGGAGACAGCAGTGATGGTTCAAGTAAACAGGCTCCTGCCACACCCATGGGAAACCAGGAGTGCATTCCCATCTCCCAGTTTCAACCCACTCGAGGCTGGGTCATTCTAGTTACAACAGAGATTTAAGAACCTAACTAGAAGTTGGGAGTGCTCTTTATCCATCTTTCTGTTTGTCTCTGTCTGTCAAATAAATAAAAATCTTAAGGTTAAAAAACAATATATAGAGTACCTGATAAGGCCCAAGTCATCACCATCCAAATCCACCATTTTCAAGACTACCATTTCTTTGTCTGTATTTGAAGAATACCTAGTTCATAAAACAAAGAAACTTAGTCAATCTAGGTTAGAGCTTGTCTTTCACACATTAACAATGATAAATTTGACATGAAAACATGTTTCGGTAACTGAGATTCCTCAACAAGCAGTGTCCCCTGTGTCCCCTCTCTCATCCCTTGGGTAAGCAAATGGTTTACAATTGTGATCAAACTCAGGTCAACTGTCTGGACCAGAAATAAAAGTATAATATTATACAACATGCATGTATTTGATACCAAATTTCTACCTATATCAAATTTTAACAAAAATCTCTTTAAAAGATATGCAAGTACACAAAATTTAAATCAGTCAGAATCTATAACTTAAATGCTCATTTATGTTCTTTCAGGAAAATTCAGATCATGGTTTGTAAAAATAAGCTCCTTTAAAAGCTATTGAAGAACAGGACAAAAATGTAGAAAGTCAAGTAGAAATTGAGATATTATTTTGTACTGCTATCGCAACCACATGCTTCTCTTCTATTTACAAGTCTACTTCATAATTTAAAAAAAGAGAGAGAGAGAGAGAGAATCATCTTCCCCAATCCTTCCAATCAATTATGCTGGATTTTCCTCTTGTTCTTTCTTCCAGATTTTTGTTCTGTTATCTTCTCTCTCTAGTCATATTCTCCTGGACTGGAATGATTTCTTCCTGATAACTTGTAATAAAAGAGCTATTCACTAATTTCGCAAAGACCTGGTATGCACATGTTAATCTCCATCTTACAGATGAAGAAGCTGAAAGCCAATAAATTAAGATAAGTAAACCACTAAAGGTCACACGACTAGGAGACTAGGAAATGATAAAACTAATTGAGACCACATCTGTCCTGAATGTAAAGCCTGGACTCCTTCAGACATCTGTATGACCTCTCACAGTCAACAGAGCCAAGAAATATGTGGGAAAGTTAGTGCTTGCTTCTGAGCCCATAGCATGTTTTAAAATTATTTGGCTTCATTGCTTTCCCAGGATCACACCACATTTATCAAGTAATAGCCCTACTCTTAGAGTGTGTAGCTGTTCCCTGAGGGAAACACAGTGAACTTGTTTCAATAATTCTTTCTCACCTTGCTCTCTCTGACTGTGGATTCTGAAGATAAGAATAAGGGCTTCGATTGATCTGTGCACCATCCACTATTCCTTTGTTGATAAAGATTTTGCCTGGTTTCAAATTTTCATGTGCTATCTCAATGCTCTGAAAGTTAAAAAAACAACAACAAAAAAGGTGTTGTAAACGTAAAAGTCCTGTTGAGGATCACGACCTAGTCAATACAAACAGAAAAACCCCATGAATAATCTGAACAGTCTTCTGTCTGTAGCCTGTCTCTGTTATGGGATAAATGTTAGAGATCCACTTGACTGCTGTTTCCCAACTGCATTGGGTTGGGATAGAATTAAGGCTGTGCAGAGAGAATCCCAGTGCTGGCCAAGGCCTGGACTGACAGAGTTCCATCCGCGTGGTTCTCAGGGCTGTTGAACAATGCATGATGAACAATTTCAGATGGAAAATTTAAAAGAAACCTGACTTTTATAACATTGGGACAAGATTAGTTAATATGTAAATGTCTTACCACTCAGTAAGGCAAAACTCTTCACTTTTTTTTTTGACTGTGAACTACAATGAGATACGTATTTCATCACAACTTAACACATATATAAACATGCATCCTAAAGCAAAATATCACAGAACAAGTATTTTTTACCATGTGTTAGGTGTATGATATCTTCCAATACATTTTACAAAAGTTCTTTTTTAAATGAATGCATATCATACTTGATAAAATTGACCTTACAAAGCATTAGTAAATTGCTTCCCTCATTTTGAAAAATATTTTCATTATAAAGAAATGTCTGCCTTTGCCAGCCGGATTACTCTAATTTCAGGATGATACCATGACAAAAGAAAATAAACAGAAACTGTGCCTGGAAGGCAAAGAAATGAAGAAAACAATGATCAAGAATCTAGGAAATAAAAGCATGGGCTTAAAGACAAGAAGGAGAAAGGCACAAGCTCTCCAACCTGGGAATGTGAGAGGAGCAGGATACTATTGTTCTTAGTGCACCATGAAAGCCTGTATATATGCTAGAGGATTTTAAAAATATGCATACACGTTCATCAACTAGATATTCTCTACCCTTTGGGAAGCATAATGAAATATTAGTATTGTTTGCAATTACTTCTGGTTCCATGACAGGTTTTGTTTCAGATACCTTTATGAAGACCATGTTGGACTCTATATCATTTTTCAGGATTGCATGCAAAATACACATAGGACAGTAAGCCATAGAAACTTGCTATACCAGTCAATCAGAGCTACAGTCCCAGAAGCCCACAGGTCAGGGGAATCACGAAGAAGGTGGGGGCCAAGATGTGCTAAAATCCACATTTCACAGGAAGTCTCTTCTTATCACACCAAATCACCCCTTAAATGCTTGGAAGCAGTGGTAAAGGACAGCAGCCTCTGGGGGTCTTTGCTCACCTTCACAATGCCATTGACCATGTACTCAAAAGTTCGATTGCTAAATCCCTCACTGGCGATGACAAATACAGTGTACTGGAAATAGCCGGCTGGACCTGAGTGTGTATGGGTGCCACTCAAGATAACGTTGTCCCTTCTGTACAGGGAACCATATTTGCTTTGTAATCTGTTCAGGACCTTCAGGAAAAAAAAAAAAAAAAAACAGAAAAAGAACAGAAGAGACATGACCTATTATTCAGCATGACAAAGTACTTGGGTGAGTTCAGTCATGGATCCACACCGGTGACACCTTTTCAAAGTGGACCCCCATTTGTGTTTAACTATGTCATCTTAGTAATAACATCAGTCATTGCAGTAGCTAGCATGTACAAGCACAATACTTAGTATTTTATATACATTAGTCACTGACGAATCTTTATCACAATCCCCAAGAGGTAGGTATTGTTAGCCTCCCATCTTAGTTGAAACACTGAAATATATGGAAGTTAAATATTTTGCCCACTAATCTCATGAGGAGTAGAGCCAGGTTCCAGATCCAAGTCTTTCTAACAATAGTACTCTTACTCCCATTTTCATTCAATACATTGTACTAATATTCTACTGTTCTATGTATAAGTAACATATGAAGCTTCTACCTTGAAGACATACTTATTCTGATGATGAAAATTAAATAGAGCTTCCAAGTATAAGGATCCCATAAGGCCACTGGTTCATGTCCTAGCTCATCCACTTCCCATCCAACCCATGTTTAGGGCCTAGGAAAGCAGTAGAGAATGGCTCAAAGTCTTGGGACCCTGTATACACATGGGAGACCCAGAAGAAGCTCCTGGCTTCTGACTTCAGATCAGATCAGCTCTAGCCATTTAGGGAAGAAACCTTGCTTCCAAAGTGGTTCCTGTTAGATGCTTTGAAATACTGAAAAACTAGTTAATACAGTGATATAGACAGTCTGATAAACTGTCTATCAGGGACTTAGGGTAAAAGAAATTCTCATTTGTATTGTTTGCCAATTTCTATGTTGTAAATAAACCACCTTGGTCAATTTCAAGCAACCAAGTTTAAGAGCCAGCTCACAGCATTCCTGAGAATTTAATCATTGGCTCTCCAAGCAGGTTATAGCACTCCACCCTTGCACAGGAAGAGCTGTTTGTACGTTATTTACTTCACATTCTTAAAGATTTCTGTTCAACCTCTTCTACTTTGATTGAAGAGCTACACCACTCTAATTCCAAGTATACACTCACAAAAGCAGAAAGATCTTACAAGCCATCTTGACCCACTAACCTCTTCCTGCCCCAAAGCGGAATTATTGGGTAACCACGTTCATGCCAGCAATCGTATGATACGATGCAAATATGGAAAGGAAATATGCTACAACCAAGATCCTAACATCCCTCTAATGAAGTAATCTTTATTCTCCATCCCAGCAAGTTTCTAAGTTAATTCTATTTGATCCTAACTCCAGCGACACCTCCTCACTACTCTTACATTGTCTCCGAAAGTACAAAGTTTATTCAAAAGGCAATGGAGGGCCTGGTGCAACAGCATAGTGGTTAAAGTCTTCGCCTTGCACGCGCCCGGGATCCCATATGGGCAACGATTCTAATCCCAGCAGCTCCACTTCCCATCCAGCTCCCTGCTTGTGGCCTGAGAAAGCAGTCTGGGGCAGCCCAAAGCCTTGGGACCCTGCACCCACTTGAGAAACAAGAAGGAAACTCCTGGTTCCTGGCTTCAGATTGGCTCAGCTCCAGACATTGCGCTCACTTGGGGAGTGAATCAATGGATGGAAGATCTTTCTCTCTGTCTCTCTTCATCTCTGTTGATCTGCCTTTCCAATAAAAATAAATAAATCTTTTAAAAAGGCAATGGGAAATGTGCATTATCAAAAAATAATGCATGGATTTCAAAATTTTCCATGCCAAAATTTACTTTTTAAGTTTGTTTTTTCCACTAACTTTTTTTTCTTTCTTTCCTGCCATATTCTACAATATAATTTAAAGATTAAGAGATTTTTTAAAAATGTTTGTAGAAGATTTTCAACCTACATAACAATAATCTGACTGATACAGTGAGCCCCTTTTGTGTATCACTGGATTCTGCAATTATCAATTCATGGGTGGCTTCACTTTAGTGTTGGATTTTAATTCTCATCTGATTCTTCTCACTAGTCTCAATTGTCTGAGAATCTGAACGAGAGGTTAGTGACTAAGTGGCACTCTCAAATGTCTAACAAAAGGATTAAATGGCAGAATATATGTGAAAGTCGCCTGGAACAGAATAAGCAGTCCAAAGCACATTTGCACAAATGATAAAAAGCTATCAGCAGAATTGAATACAATTTTTGATCAAGATAACATGGATGAGGAAGCAAGGCTCAGTCTTCTTGCATGATTGTCTGCTAGATTGCCATGTGTTCCTTAACACTGAAGGAAATGGAAACTTCTAGAACTGAAACCAGGAGGACTTGGTTGTGATCACAATCACCCAGGGACTTTCCTTTAACCATCTCATTTCTTCTTCCCCTCTGTCACTTACCTCCAACCTGAGTCGTTGAGATACCATGCCTATCTCAATGCTGACAAACACGACTCGATTTGACCCATCAGATTCTGCCACGATGAAAGCCCGACTGTATAGCCTCGTGAGTACGCCCTGTGCATTCTGGCCGCTTTTGCTGTAGCCCATCTAAAGAGGAAGACAGAATCCAGGCAGGGACATATGTGAAAGGATTACTTTAGGCAGGCAAAACAAAAAGATCACAGCACTAGAACACTGAATGAGAAAAAATTTTTCAAGAATTAAAAAAAAAAAAGCCAAAACCATAAAGACATCTTGAATCTTATGTGTAGAAAATGGGAAGGCCAATATTAACCAGAATGGCAGAAGTTACTCAATGACCCACAGGCGAGGAGGAGTTTGGCTGGCTCTGGATTCTATAACTGCATTAAAGATCCTTAAGGGATTTTGTGTTCTTTAAACAGCAGCTTTCCTCTAGGATGCCCAAGGCACTGCAGGAGCAAAAAAACATTCCCCATTTCCACCCTGAAACTAGGAGGCATTCTCATGTTGGTTGGCTGGTGTGTGATTTGACTTTCTGAAGAAATGATATCTTTATGACTAAGTAATTTTTTCATTGTTAATAACATTGTATTATGTGATATAGTTTTATAGGCACTGGGATTCCCCCACCCCTATGATTAAGTAAATTTTATGATGGGATTTCATCCTGATATCTATCGTGCTATCACTCCCTAAGCCGTGTCATGTCTAGTCTAAGCCCCCCTTTTCATCATGGCACAAATCCACCTCTCAAAGTCATGCCCAGGTCTTCAGGATATGCCCTGCTCATGTAGATTTCCCAGGCCAGGACAGTCAGCAGTTGCTAGAATCTGAAGATCACATAGTAGAAGGAAGAAAATCCTATCATACACTGTCATGCTCAGGCTTCCCAGCAAAGCATTAACAGAAATGGTTATTTCAACCATCATAGGCAAGATATCACATTTTGGTAATCGTCAGGCCACCCCAGAGCTGACCTACATAGAGTTAACCCATAAATTTTGCCTATTTTTAATAGGTGATAGATTAAAATCCTCACATCTTCAATCCAGAGATTTTTCTGACTTCTCTAGGGAAAAAAAAAAAAAAAGACAGCACACCCATGAGCCCACACTGCCACATGGCAACACTCAGCTACAGCCATGCACTTTTTTTTCTTTGTACTCACCATTTCCTACTAATCCCTTTTCTACATAGAGAGTTTACTAGACATCCATGATCATCCATTAAACCCGATTCAATCATTTGAGACATTTACACACTGATGCCCATTCCATAGTATCTGAGTTTGCCTGATCTGGCTCTTCCATTTATTAAAAAAAAAAAAAACTGTCCAGTTGTCTTTACAACAAAGTTGTGATTAAATACATTTTCTCCTTCTCAGAGTCTGTTATTCATAGTGCTAAACAGGAACAAATTTAATACAAAAGATTGAAGAAAATAATGAAATAATAATTGGGAATGAAAGCAGGATATAAAATAACCAAATGACTTACAGGTTTCTTGAGGAGCATTGGGTTTACCTACCAAATTGATGTCTGCCACTTGTCCTGTGCAGTCAGCACGCCCTGCCCCAACAAGGTAGCCACTGAAGTTCTGAGGCAGAGGTGGCTCTGGGGTGCAGGTCACAGGAGCAGACTGTGTGGCTGCAGGGCCCTGTGTGCCTGGAGGGCTCTGGGTGGTTGAAAAGTCCACGTTTCCTGAGTTTAAAATGGAATAAGACATTTGAGAAATATTTTGGCTCACTTATGTGTCATAAAGAATATATAAGTTCCAATTCCTAAGGAATCGTATATCTATATACTTTCTTGTATGTCAGCTGTACAGTGAGAGATGCTGTTGGAAATCCTAATTTTAAGCAGGGTCTCTTTCTTAGACTAGAGATGTTTCAGACTAACAGTCAAATGCCCTTCACCTTCCCATCATGAACCATTTTTTTGTCAACTCATCCCTTTTGTTCACTTGACTACTCATCTGTTCCAACAAATAAAACAAGAATCATTTCCACTGTGATTTACTAACGCAATGTCTGGGGATTTCCTTCTTCCATTCTTGCCATCCTGTTGTCTCCTTCCTTTCCACTCCACCAACCAACATCCAACACTCAGAGTTGATCTTCTTGCTCCAGCTCTGCTCCTCATCTCCAGGATGTCCCAACTCTCTCTATACTGCTCTGGTCTTCCTCAACTATCTAAAGACTTATTAATGGAACTAATATATACTATATATGGAACTATAATGGAACTAATATATACTAACTATATACTTGTTGACATACCTGCAACTTATTTAAATCACTCTGGTATCTATATATCCATATCTAGGCATATTTATTCACACATACATTTTCCATATAAACATGAATACCATGGGAGGCAGAATGACAAAGATTAAGAAGTCAGTTACCAAAAACACACTTTCTGATGACTACTTAATTAAATTCTTTAATGTATCTCACCCATATTTTCCATCCATTGAATGGAAATGAGAGTAACAGCCTGCTTCCTAGCATTGTTTTGAACATTCAATATATTCATGCACTCCAAGAATACAGAACAATGCTAGTGTATAGCTTTGGGTTTACTTATACCTCTAGATATCTTACATACACCTTTTAGTCAGGAGTAGGCAGAGCAGGACATGTTGGTGTCACAAAACATTCGTGGCCATACAGTGTTTTTGTCCAGGAATTAACAGCAGATTCCCACCAGAATTCTAGGGCTTTCAGAGCTAAAAGAAATTATACATCACCTGGCTCAGCCTCCTGAGTTTTATAGAAGAGATGTGATTTAACCAAGATTTCATGACGGGCATGTGATGAATCAGATATCCAACCTAGGTCCTAGAGCTCAGACTCAGATACTTTTTCAGCCAAATTCCAGATAGGGCTACAAACAATGTCTCCTCATACCAAAACCTAAGTTTTTTTCATGACACCAAATATTTCAAAGAGGAAAGTGGGTACCTTTGCTATTTAGTTCATTGCTATCAAGATAGAAATCTTAACCACTTAGCCCAGAACAAGTAGCGCCCTCTATAAAGAGGCCATTCAACAGGCAGTAATCACTATTGGCAGGACAGTTACTGTCTTTATTAATAACTTCCTTAAGTTGAAGCTCCTGATTAGGAGCTAAATGAGTCCTAAGGATCCTTTCATTTCCAGCAGTCCAAGACCCTGCCTGCCTGCCTGCTTCTGGAACAGAAGGTGTCTCTTCCTCAATGTTTTTAAGGGATGAGAAGCACCAGGACACAGAGCACACACAGGAAATAGAGACCATAAAAAGAAACACTGTGGTGAGAAACATCATCTCCTTCTCCATTTAGCCTAAGACCCGACCCACCTTCTGCTTTGTCAGAGCATTCAGTCTCTGCCCCCTTCACTCATTTAGCAGGTATGGAACCTGACCCTGAAACAGACCTTCCAACAAAGAACTACTGCCAATAATTCTTGAAAAGTAGCCTACAATTTGAATAATTTGAAAGACCTCAAAGAGATGTATAAAAAATCATCTTTCCAGCTTCTTTTGAAAAGCTCAACCCATGTGACATTATGAAAACATGCAGCTGATAATGGGGAGGCCTTGTGAATACCCTTTACAAAATCATGCACTGGCTACCTATTGCATCTCATTTACGGAACCTAATTGATTCCTGTAACCCATTTTTTTTTTGGCATTTAACACCCCCTTATCTGAAAGTTTTTCACAAACTGATTGACACCTAATAGACTTTTCACTCTTCTTTTGATCTTAGGAACTGAGGATACCAACAATGAGACAAAGAAAAAATATCATAAATATTAGACACAAAAAGTTGGAGTAGATGTTGTGGTACATCAGGTTAAGCTACTCCTTGAGACAACTGCATCCCATAATGGAATGCCTGGAATTGAGCCTCATGTCTGCTGCCAATCCAGCATCCTGCAGAGGCACCTGGGAAGCAGCAGACTATGGCTCATGTATTTGAATATGATTTGCAGTCAAGGTGGAGACCTGCTGCTTGGCCCCATCCAGCCATCTTGGGGACTTGGGAAATGAACCAAAGATTGGAGGAGACATCTGTGTGGTGCTCTCCCTTTAAAGGAATAAAAAATGAATACATAAACTGTTTAATATAAAAGCTGACATCATTGTGTTTGAAAAATTTGAGCTATGTTAGATCAGTGGTTAAGTAAAGGCAAATTTCTGCAAGTCAGAAATTGCTAACTGGCTCTTTGGGAACAAAGGTAAACTAGATAAAAACTGCTATCAAGCAGACAAGGTAATGAAAGTAAAGGGAGAGGGCTACCCCCAAGTGCATGTGAGTGTGAGTACACACTGAACTAACAGCAGGCCCTGCTCCTTATCTTGAGGTTCTTGGTAACATTTCCCAACAGGCCTCGGAAGGGCATCCATGGGAACCCATATGCTTGCCTTTGTTGTTTTCAATGGTGCCACTGGTGATAAACAAGAGGCTGAGAAGGGCCACGGTAATGGCAGTCATCATTACAAGGAGGAAAATGAGGAATGCCTCCAACGCGGAGAAGCTTCGTTTGGCCATATTCCCTGAAGCAAAACAGAGATGAAAATATATATAAAGGAGGAAGAAAAATGAAACACAAGTTAAAATGTACATAATTCATATGCTTCAACTCTCTCCTAAGGCTAAGATGCCTTCGCTCCTTCATATTAACACTGTACCAAGAAAGGAAAACGCAGAGCCTACCTACTGCGAATTCAGTATCCCATGGAAAACAAGACCAATTTACAACATTCACTTTGACTAGATCAGATGAGGTTTCTAAATCCTGCTCAACACAGTGCTGTGCCTGGCAGCTACCACTCATGATTTGGCAGTGACAACAGAATTAAAATATCTTCACATTCCTTGGCTACTCATACTGCTTTCATATAAGCAAAGACGCTGTTTACAGGTCTGGGTTGGGAACACTGTTGACAGCAAGGATGATTGAGGGACATACTTTTCTTGCACTTGGACAAAATCGCACTGGGATCAGAGCTGTACTTGATGGTTATGAACTCAGTAGAACTGTCTTCAACACATGGATGTGGAATGATATATTCTTTTTTTAACTTTCAGTTATTACATGGTGGTAAAAGGGCATAGAAAAAGGAATGGCATCTTTGATCTCAAATTGGACATTTTTACAATTTCCTTTCAGTGACCAGAAAGATCCCAGGTACCTGGTGTGATGGTTCAATAGGTTAATCCTCTACCTCCAAGTGCCAGGATCCCATATGGGTGCTGGTTCATGTCCCAGCTTTTTTCCACTTCCCATCCAGCTCCCTGCTTGTGGCCTGGGAAAGTACTCAGGATCTCCTATGGATGTCCTAACTTCTGCACCTCCAGTGCATCTCCCTGATAATGCTCTTGAGGAAGCAGCAGAAGACGGCTTAAAAACTTGGGTGCTTGCACCCATCTGAGATACCTGAATGAAGTAGCTGACTCCAGGCTTCAGTCTGACACCGACTGACCATTGCAGCCATTTGGAGAACAGGCCAGCAGATGAAAGACCTCTCTCTTTCACTCCCTCTTTTTCTCTCTAACTCTGACTTTCAAGCAAGTTTAAAAAAAAAATTTTAAGTCCCTGTGTTACATAAAAGCATTGCATGGCCTAAGAGATTCCTTAAGCTGTTTTAGGGTAGAAATTCAACACAGAAGCTAAAATCCATGCAATATAGGTAAATGTATTAACATGGAGGCTTAGACTCTGAAATCTCATTGCAAAATTAGTCTCATACATTTATTAAGGAATTTTGGGGAATCTTCCCCTGACACCAAGCCTCCGTTATCCCTCCCATCTGTAAATACCCCTATGGGGGTATGTTGACAATGTTAGGACCTGTCACATATAGTTCCTCTCAGAATAAGATGAAATGGTGTAAGCAATCCCATTTTTGTTCAATAGAGTATAAGTACAAAGAACACTAGCATTTATCATCAGTTTCCAAAATAGCAGAGTTTGTACTCCTCCCTGTCTTCAAGGAGCTTACAAGAGGCTAATACTAAAGGGTTATTAAATCCAAGTAGTTGCTTTCAACATGGATTGATTTGCAGCTAAGACTTTTGCTACCAGCAAGAGTTGCAAATAGCAACAAATAAACAGGTATTCAATATGATCATACAACTTTTTTGGTGTTAATTTGACTTATGTGACAAGATGAAAAATAGTATTTAAAATTTTAGCTGAAAAGAAAATAAGTTCTTATTTACAGGTGTGAAAATCAGATTGCTTTTTATTTTAAAATAATTTGTAAGGTGGCAAACCTGATCTAGAATTCCCTAGGACTCAGTTTGTTAAACTAAAGTTTTCTAGGATGGACTAGTGGCTGTTTCCTTTTGCAGAGCAGGGATTCCTCAGTCAATCACAGTCCCTACCAGGAGGGTCATCTCTATTTAGTTACTGATTTTTCTGTGGGCATGCCATTCTAAACCCCATCCAAGAGTGGAAGATCAGTCTGACAGCAGATGTTTCAGAGGTGCAGTTAAGCTGGGAGTGGACAAACAAACCGGAATTGAAAATCTTTCCTCATTTATCTGTCATCCCTGTGATCACATTCACCACTTATAGTGGGGACAATTGAAAATCTGGGGCAAAAACAAAGTCATTTAGTGTCTTGGTACCAACTTCTATTATCAACTTTAGGAAAAGGAAACACCTCTAAGGTATACCTCTGACACTCGGGTGACCTAGAGTATCTTATTAGGTCCTAGGCGGTAGTTCAGATGCAGATTTCCAACCCAGCATGCCCAGTTCCTGCTCAAAGTTTTGATTTCTATAACAACACAGTAGGAACCTGTGTATCAAACAGACATGGCACACACACACACACAAAAATTCCACACCACTGTGTGTTTGTGTGCATGTACCAATTTTCCTCTATGAAACAGATGATAGCCTTGTATACAAGCCAGGAATGATACTTGATTTCAGATTAGACCTTCTATCTCTAATTTAGATTTGAATAATCTCACATGTTCCAACATTCTGTGGAGTTCCTGAATCAGTGCCAATGTATTACATTTTTTGCACCCAGTTCAGCTGACTCAACCACTACCTTTACAGAAATTAGGATATGGGTTGGTAGTACTTCTTCCTACTAGTAATTAAACCATGAATTTGAATATTAAAATAGATGCCATATCTGTCTTCAGGGGGGAAATGCATCTTGAGACACAAAGCCAACAATTTTATTTAGAGATTCTAAATGTCATGGTTTCCACTTAATCTGTTCTATACTTTCAAGCTCATGATACAATTACGATGCTGTCAAAATACAATAGCAAGTCATTTGCTTTTCAAGGGTGTGACAGTAAACAGTACTAATTCAACAAAATGCATTTCTAGACTACGAGAACTGCGTGGTTCTCTAGTATTAGACAGAAAGATGATCCAAGATTTCCCACTCCCTAGGAAAAGCCAGTCATGCTTACCTGAATCCACCACTCAGAAGAGCTGCCACATCCCAAGACAGCAGGTGACCATCCAGAATCTTGCTCCCGTTCTGCTTGTATGGTACAGGATTCAGACTTCTCACAGTGCTTCCTGAAATCTACTGAGAAGAAATGTGCACAGTCAAGTTCCAGAGGCAGAACTCTGAATAGCACACCTTGGTACATGGATAAGATTAAAACGTATTGATAACAAAAGGCTTATATGCAAACTATCTTCAGGGAGAGACTTATCATCAGAGAAATAGGTGGCAGAAGGTCTGCTGAGCTGAAGGTCATGCCAGTCTTCATATATCTCTTTCAGCCTAACAGACTGTGGTCGGCAACCCAGACCACAAAACATGCACCTGGTTTATGTACCACTGCCAATCAACCCAACACCAAAGGTAGTACTTATGTATGTTAGTTATCAATATGGACTATGTCTACCACTGGACAATATGAGACAGTATTATCCCATTTAAGTACATCTGACTTTAAGTATGTGGGGTCATATGCCTAAAAAATCAACAATCTATTAGTTTATCACTATTACTGGTGATTCCGGGTGTTTTTTTCTTTCATCTTTCTGCCTCTTGGTATAACCATGCATCACATGTCCAATGAAGGCTATACAGCATTACACTTCCTCTTAAAATATGCGTGCTACAAAACAGTGGAAAGTTAAGTCATGGCCTGTCAAGACAAAGAACAAGAAATAGACCAGCCCTCCTCCTTTTTTCCTTCTTGCAAGCCCAATCTGCCTAGGAATCCCATCAAAGAGAACAACGCAGAATTAGGCAACAGACCAGCTCCCAAAGTTCCAACCCAAGTATTATCAGTGTAAGTTCCTTCGAATAAAGTATTACATAGTGGATCTTTGAAAGCTCTGTTACTATAGGTGGGAGCACCTTAAATCTTGTTAACTTGTTAACAAGTTTATTATCGGTGCTGATATTGGTGAAATTCTAATTCTTTTTTCTTTTTTTTTTAAAGATTTATTTTTATTATTTTTTCATTGGAAAGGCAGATATACAAAGAGGAGAGACAGAGAGGAAGATCTTCCGTCTGATGATTCACTCCCCAAGTGAGCGCAATGGGCCGATACTATGCCGGTCCAAAGCCAGGAGCCTCTTCCGGGTCTCCCACGCGGGTGCAGGTTCCCAAAGCTTTGGGCTGTCCTCAACTGCTTTCCCGGGCCACAAGCAGGGAGCTGGAAGGGAAGCGGGGCTGCCGGGATTAGAACCGGCACCCATATGGGATCCCGGGCGTGCAAGGCGAGGACCTTTAACCACTTGCGCCACCGCGCCAGGCCCGAAATTCTAATTCTTAATTACAATGTATGGAGAACAAAACCAGCTGAACTGATCCCAAAGGAAGAAAAAAATATTATAGGAAAGACAGCAAGAAAAACTAAAGGCAGGGGCTTAGAAATGCCAGCAATGTGGGCAGTTCTGCAGATCTAAGGTACAGGAGCTGTGGGACCATCTCTTCAGGCCATCACCCCTGAGAAAGAAGCATCCGAGCAATTCTATGCCTTTGTATTGTCCTACTCTGGACTCAGTCCTGAAGGATAACATCTGGTTGGCCTAATTTGGATTTACACGATCTTCCTGCTGATGCCACTACTTAAATGGAAATTGCCGAGCATACCCAAAGAAGAAAGGGATGTTCTTCAAAATAAGATGAAGATGGGCTAAATGTTGGCAGATGAAAGCAACAGATACCATCTAGTCACCTGCCACTAGATTTTGCTCCTTTGCATCCATCTTCTTTGCAATGAGAGGCCTCCAGCGTGCCCATGTGGTCTCTTCCAGAGCTCTCTAGCCTTTTTCCCCATAAAAAGAAGCCATGCCATTACCCACTCACTAATCACGCTCAGTGACCACAATCTAGACAGATAAAATCATTTTACCCAGCTTTTAGTATATAATAGTGACATATCTCCTCTTACAGAAACAATAGACAGTCCATACCTGAATAATAAGGGGGTGCGAATGGAGTTGATTCCAAGTACTATGGCAGATCCAGTGGAGGTAAGATGCTGAGCCCAGGGGATTTACAATACCCACCGAAACATCTGCCTCCTATATGCAGGAACACAATCCTGAGGTGAGATGGAGATTAAGTGACTGTAAATATTTCATTTCTGAGTGACTCTCACAGAATCAGCAAGGACAAGCTGTCTTTCCCTATCCACCATCCTGACATATTCACCCATGTATACATTATACCCATTTTTCAGATGAGGCAACATATACAGAAATGTCAAATGGTTTCTAGAACAGGAAAGGAAGATCAAAAGGGAACACGACTCAAAAAATAGGATATAAATCATAAAGTCTCCAGACTCCTGTATATGACCTTTTGCCCTTCTCTAGATGCTTATCATCCATGTCACCTTGACCCAGTCCCTGGCAGGGCAGTCTCTGAAGAGAGAAAGACAATGTGTTCCTCAAATCCTAATTCCTAAGTCATTAGCCAAGAACTGCTACTATCATATACTTTCTTAATATTTTACATAGGTCAACCAAGCCAGGATCTTAAAAGGCATAGAACAAATTTCATATACTCCATGCTAACAGTCACATCCTTTCACTCTTTAATTCTTGGAATAATTCATGATTAAATTATTTTCAGTAAACAGTATTTCACTAAGAATCCAGCTTGTCTTTTCTAAATGCTATTTCTTACTGAAAGAAGCCAGGTATCTTTGGAGAAAAAGCTGGTTCTACATGCATCCCTGCTTTTAGACGAAAGATAGATTCCCAATGAAACTGTTGGACATGTGTACACAATGGGATGCTGGACTGCCTGACTTTGTCTGTACCAACAATGTTGGGGTACAGTTAAATAAGAGACTAATAGAATTATGATTCCTTATGAAGGACTACACTATTGTAGTAAAATAGGGAAAATCTGTTGAGGGGGTGGGAGTCTGGGGGGGAAATCCCAGCCTATATGAAATTGTACCACATAATTCAGAATTCAAAATAAAAATATATTTTTAAAAAGCTGGTTCTAAGTCAAGGACAGGAATTATACAAAGATATATGGAATATTTTAGTATACTAGAAATCAGAAAGATCATCGAGATTGTTAGAAGTGTGACAAAACACTAAAAGGCTCCCACTAATCAAAGATAACCTCAATAAGTTAAAAAAGCAAATCATATGCTTAAATATATAAAATCATAACAATACTTAATTATTATCATTTATTTGAAAAGCAGAGGGAGAGCAATCTTCCAATACTGGTTCATTCTCCAAATACTCACAAAAGATGTGACTGGGCTAGATCAAAGCCAGGAGTTTGGATCTCACTCCAAGACACACACGTTGGTAACAACGACTCAACCTCTTGGGTCACCTGCCACCTCCCAGGGCACACATCAGTAGGAAGGTAGTATTGGAATCAGAGCAGAGGCTTGAACTCTGGCACTCCTATATGAAATGTGAGTGTCTTAACAGATGTCTTAACTTTTGCACCAAACACCCACTCATGGCTATACTTTTAAAAGATGATAGAAACCTGATGTGTTACACTGGTATATTGGTTTACAAAGTGGGGCAGGGGTGAAGGCAGGTGTTGCAGTACATCAGCCCTGACACTTGGGTTGCTCACACCCCTTCCTTATTGGAGAGCCTGAGTTTGATCCCACGTCTGCTCCTAATACAGATTCCTGTTAGTGTGTACCATGGAGTAAGCAGATGGTAGCTCAAACACTTGGGTCCCTGTCTCAGAACCTGGAAACCTGAATGGAGTTCCCAGATCATCTTTCCTGGGGCTTTGGCCTGGTGCAATCTGGTTGTTGCAGGAAACTGGGCATTTGGGAAGTGAAACAGCAGATGGAAGATGGCTCACTTCCTTTTTCTTCTCTCATTGTCTCTCCCCCTTTAAAATAAAATTTTAAAATACAAGTAAATCAAAATGGAGTGAGAATTAATAGCCTAGGATATACTCTGCTTTTCCTGCAAAAATGCACATTTGGGAAACCAAATAGGTAAGAGGGAGAGTTTATCACTGTAGAAGTATTTGAGCCGATAAATAAGGAGGGAATGCTTAATGAACAATGAGGAAATGATGAATCTAGGCAAAGATCACCAACAACTGCTTATGTCACCAAGAGATAATCAGATAACCAGTAAACCTTTGAAAGGCATCACAACCTTAATTATCATGCATTCTTACCAAAAGTTAAAGTTAAATCAGATCAGCTACTTGACAGTGCTTGTTTACAGAAGAGCGACAGATAACTGAGCATAGGGAAGAACAACATGGGATGCAGAAAGCATCTGTAAATTAATGACTGTTGAAAAACAAACTCCAAGTGCACCTGAAGAGAAATGAGGGGGCGGGAGGAGAGAGCAGGAAAGGTCAGTCCAGGATGGCAAGCTTGAGAATGGGGAGGAGAAGCAGCAGCAAGGTGAGAGGAGAGAGGGAGAGTGGCCAGCAAAGGAGAGGAAAGAGAAAGGGGCTATTAGAATAAAAAACATGAGAGACATGGCATGGGGTTGTAAGCTCAAAACCAACATTTGATAACCAGTTTGAAGTATATTTTTAAACTATGAAACTGTTTGGGACAGTTGAATACTGAACAGATATTTGAGGCTATTAAGGAATTAGCATGTAAAACTTTGGTGTACTTCACCAGAGAAGTGTTGAGAAAGCCCTCCATCCAGCAATCTTTTAGAGAGTGGGTAGAGGGAGAGAAAAAATACTCATACACATAAAAATTTCCTGTTAGAATACAGACTGGGCTCTCATTCTCTTTGGAGATGACTGCCTAGTTTATCAGATGTGGAAATTGGTCTCTTCAAATTTTCAATAAACTTTGTTTAAAGTGCAAATAAATTAAGTGATAGTGTAATTGTGGTGTTGGGATTATACTTTGTAAAGAAAACCTTTCTTTTAGAGATGTATTCTGAAAAACAAAATTCTGAAAAATTAAAAATTGCAAAAATTGGAAGGAAGGAAGGACAAAAGATTGATTAGAACTAAGCTTTCTTTAACATGCTGGATGATATACTACGACAGACACATCGGATTGCTTCACTCCACACACAAACGTCAGATCCTTCCAGGGTACAGAAGCTGGACATTCATTTGCACAGATTTAGTTTGGGTCCTGCCTTTTAGATGCACTGAAATGAGTCTATGAATCAGAGCTGAGTCATTTGGGGAGAAAAGCAGGGCATGAGCTATCATTTTTGCTGGTTTGTATCAGGGCAGCGTGGTTCTCAGCTCTCGGCTTTCTGCCTGTGTCCACATATTGCAGCCATGAGTTTGACCAAAACAGATCACCATTGAACAGATCTGCTCTGCAAGGTAAATTGGGTAACTTCTGAGAGCTCAACCTCAACAATCAGCTTTCCCAGGGTCTCTGCGTGTTCTCTCCATTCCTGAAGAAATCCTTTTGTTTGTACCTCCAACATCAACTTGTCCAATTTCATAGCACATTGGACCTCATTTTGAAGAACACAGCCATTCCACCCTCTGGACACTGTGTATG